ACTGCTAGAGTAATAAGTAGTGTGACTAGTAATAATATAAAAGCTGCCATTTGTTTTTGAGGGTGCAAGGTCATTTATTACTACTTCACTTGTTTCATGAACTGAAGGATCTAAGACAGAAGTTTGGTTGTTGTCTTTTGTTTGTTTTTTTTTGTTTTTGCTGTCTGTATACTTGTTTTAAGACTTTGGGGGTTATTTTCCAAAACTGCATGATTCAATATCTGTTGCAGCTCTGCATAGAAACCAATTGGCTTCCAGGTTTTATTGCCAAAGCTTAATTGAACAAGCAGACTTTAGAAGCTGATTGGCTACCATGGTCAGCTGCAGCAGATTCTGAGTGCCCAAGTTTTCGTAAATCTCCCCCCGTGACTTATGATGTAATGACCTGAGTATGGAATGTACATTGAATCAAACTGCAGGAGTGGCTGCTCCTATATTTCTATCGAAGACAGATTCTCCCATTAAGTGCTAAATCTTTGTTTACTTAACAAGCAGTAAAAGCACTTTAAAACGAGATCTTTGACCTCTATAGCTACAGACACTGTAGAGCAGCCTTTCTCAACCCCTTTAATGCAGGGTGACCCTTCAAATAGTTTTCATGTCTTGGGGACCCCTGCTAAGTTAACCTCCCTGGCGGTATTCCCGAGTGTAACTCGGAGTAGAGTTTCAGTACCAAAAGCGGTAACCCCGAGCTACACTCGGGCTTACCATGCAGCGTTGCTCAGGGATTCACTGCAGCGCTTACCTTGTCCTTCGCTCCCGCGATGTGTCCCCTGCAGCGTCCCCGGCCATCTCCTCCAGCCGATGCCGGCATCCGGCTTCCGTGTTCTGGTCCCTGTGACGTCGGGACGTACGGGCGCCGGAAACGGCGGCAAATTTGAAAATTTTAAAAAATTCAATTTTTTTGAAAATGATTATTACATAGTAAAACATTGCTGTTTCAACCCATTTCACATACATTTTGTCCTGAGTGCTTTGTCCGGCGCCCTGCCTGCATTTTTACTGTTCTTTCTGCCTGGAAACTGAGAAACGTCCATGGCGTCCAAAAAGTGTCCCTTTAGGTCAAAAGCGGTTTTAGACCAGCTAGAGAACAGCGATAATAAATCAGAACCACTTGCAGAATTGAGTGATAATTATTCGTGGGGGAAATTCGTCATCAGACACTGAAAACGATTCTGCGACTTTGCTCAGCGATGTGCGAACTTGGTGCTCTATTTCAAATTTCAGTGTTTTTGGTTTGATATATATTATTGAATTAAATTTATTATTATTATATTGTTAATTTTTATGATTATTTATTAAATTATAATTTATGATTTCGTGTTGCAAATTTTATCCTACCCGGGTGTTTAACCACTTCCAGAACGGACACTTTTACCCCCTTCCTGATCAGGGCAATTTTCAGCTTTTAGCGCTATCACACTTTGAATGACAATTGCGCGGTCATGCAACACTGTACCCAAATGAATTTTTTACCATTTTTTTTTGAGACCGATAAAGCTTTATTTTGGTGGTATTTATTCACCACTGGGATTTGTATTTTTTTTGCTATGTAAATGAAATATCCAAAAATGTTGAAAAAAAAGTGTTTTTTTTATAAAATTTTGCAAATAAATAATATTTCATCATAAATCTTAGCCAAAATTTATTCCGTTATCTTTTTAGTAAAAAAAAAAAAAAAAAATCCAAATTAGTTTATAAGCAAAAATTATAATTTTTAAACATTTTTTTTTTTACATTTTTATTTTATTTTTTTATTATATTTTTATTTTTTACATACTGTCACCCTAGCAGTACAGTGTCACCATGGTGACACTGTACTACTTGTGGGGGGTGAGGAAGATTTTTTTTTTTTACACTGATTGCTTTTTTACACCCATATAGGATGTAAAAGCAATCATTTCTCTTTCTCATTGAGAAGTACTGAGTGAGCTGTGATTGATCACAGCTTGTCACATGGTACAAGGCTGTTGTGAATAGCCTTGTACCATGTGACCTCTGTGATCATTCACAGATTTCACACGTAAGCAATGATGTCACAAGTGACATCTTGCTTACTACTTTGCATGTGATCACTGATTGGCCAATCAGTGATCACATGATCGGGATCTCGTACAGAGGTCCCGTCCGACGATCGGTGTTTCACTGTGTCCGGAGGACACAGCGGGCACCGGATCGCGGTGCTGCGCGCTCCCAGGGAGCGCGCATAAGCAGGGTGCGGGGAGGCCGTTTATAGACGGCCACCCGACCCTGCAGTGCCACCGTCCGGCCGTTTATATACAACGGCCAGACGGGAAGTGGTTAATAGACTTTTGTTCGGACAGATTTCAGTGAGTTCTTCCTAAAAATTACAGGCCTACAATAAAAAAATACATATTTCCATGCAAAATAATGGTACCGCTTTCAGCACCAAAAATCTGAAATAATCATACCGCTAGGGAGGTTAATACAACTCTAGTCTAGGTCATGATAACTTTGCATGGTCAGTAAGTTGTAAACATAATAATACTTAAAAGCGTAAAGAATGTAGCGTTCCTAGCATAAAAAAGAAAAAGAAAACCAGTAACAATCATGAAATGGAACAAATAATAATAATGGCCTGAAAAGAAACACTGACAATCATGGGTTATTTAGTCTGATGTTATTTTAAACTACACCTAGACAGGTTTACATTTGAAAAAAAAAGTCTTTAAATTATGGTGGACAGTGTTAAATTTGGTGGGAGCATCTAGATCCGCCGTTTTCAACCTTTATAACACAGAGGACCCCTTGAAATAGCATTTCTGTCTCAAGAAATCCCTACTAATGATTACTAGATACACAGCTCAGCGTCATAGTACATAAGAAGAATGTGTCTTAGATTTGTGGAAACCGGGATCAAAAACCCCCTACAGATAGTTAAAAAGATCATTAGTTTCAGTGGTTACTCTTCTGAGAGGCAGACATTACTCATTGCTCAAGAAACCGATAGAAATCTAGGCTTTCATGGAACCCTGGTTGAGAGAGGCTGATCTACTGTAGATGCTGTATGTAACATTGTCATTTGATATTTGCATTATGTGTCACTAATTGTGGCAGCCCTACATATCTGTGTCTATGTGAGATAAAGTGAAATATAAAGTAAATGTTCACACAGACGTTTTATACAGAGGCAGGTCTCCACAAGTGGAGCCTGTAGGCCTACATCCTTCTGCTTGGGTCACCTTTTGTTACACAGATCATTTTCTTGTTTACTTGACTTGCAATATTAAAACTATATATAAGCTTAAATTAGATTTTGAAATGTCTTTATTTCTACTGATGATGGGAAATAAAAATGTTACATGAGAGCAGTACAGAGAACATCTACCCCCGTTTGGTTCTGCTACCTATAGGAACACACCTGCTGTGTCAAATGGTCATTCCAACCCCGACTATATACATATATAACTGTATGATGTATGTTTAGTACAAATTATTTGCTCCATTTTCAGACAAATGAAATAGTCATTGAAGAGAGAGTAGTAATCCCCCTTAGAAATCTGATTACAGTAGCCTTTTAATTCCGTTAATGCCGTGATAGGTTGACATCAGAAGCTTCCTGACCTGTTGAACAAATAAAGTGTTTTATTTGAATTTTCAGGCTCTAACGTACCAGTATTTATCTCCTTCATCAATTGAATTACAAAGACATTGGTTCTTTTGTTTTTCCCGATTAAATGCTCCGCTGTCGCTGTTTGACTTTGCTTGTGTTGCACGGTGTACTTGGGCTGCCATAGGACGTCATTCTTTTCCCCACAGGGAGGAGAGCGACAGGCGTTCTTTACCGCAAGCCGTTCCTGTTGTCTGGCAAGCAGGATAGACATTTAAAACATTTCTGTGTATTCTGTGTAACCTGGTGTTTGTGTTGTCATTGCTTCTCTTTCATTTGATCCTTAGGAATGTCATGAAATCTTGAAATAGATTGCAGAAAACACATAAATGCTTTGTGTGTTTACCCATTTCTGAGTAAACCTTCAAAGATGGAAGTAGGCGTTAATACTTTATAAAACTCAATCTTTCCTTGTTGAAGCCATAGGTTTGCTTGGATAGATGAGATGATGTACAAATTATAGGGCTTTAGTGTTAGGTTTGAAGACTCAGAAAGTGCACAGTGCAGTAACTTATAGCAGTCAGTTTTTATTCTGTGTCTGACATCTGTAAAATGAAATCTGATTGCTGCTCTGGGTACCCACTGCACTGTGCAGTCCCATTTGTAAAGTGAAACGTCATGCAAAACGTTTTTCTTTTCTTGTCCATTGGGGGACACCGGACGCCATATACTGTTGGCTTATACTGCCACCTGAAAGAGGTTGGACACGAGCAAACAAAAAAAGCACACTGTAAAAGAACTGGTGACTCTTGGGCTCTTCTGCATTAGGATACTCAGATGGTTTTTCCGGCTTCATGTCATGCCAGCTTTGCTTGTAAGGTCCTTCATGTGGCTCCTTGTGCTGCAGGCTGCCCCCGTTCTGTTGTTTTTCGTGGGCCTGTTAGCATTTTGTTTGCTGTTGCCCACTCCTCAGTTGGACTTTCAGTTATTAACCCAATAAATACTGAAGCCAGAAAACCAACGTGACAACCAGATAGCCAGCATTTTCAGATGGAGCAGCAGGCTATGCATTTTTCTAATGGCAAGTTTCCTTTAAGATGACCTTTTGCCATTGAACCTCATCTTCAAAGTATGTTTAAGGCTCATGCACATAGATGTTTTGTGCTGTATAATGTAACATACGCCCATGGATCAGCCCCCAGGCACCACAGATGTTTCATATAACCACCTGCACTAATGAATTACAGAATACAGCTGTATGCAGGTATATGCAGCTCCAAGCATAAACATACATATCAACGTATACCCTTGGATAGAGCCGGTTCTGTGTTTGGGTGTATCCTGTAGTTCATTTGTACAGGGTGGCTGTAGCTAATATATTTAGTATATTTACATATAACTTATGTTTATACATGTACTTTATCCCTAGGTGGAACTAAGTTGTCCAAAAGAAATGGCATGGAAAGTGAATATGTACCGTGGTTACCTGGCAATTTGCCACCCAGAGGAGCAGCAACTGAATTACATCGAACGACTGGTTGAAATGGCAAGCAGCCTGGCTATCCGGGAATGGAGAAGACTTCCATATGTTGTCTCTCATGTCCATACACCATTGTTGCAGGTAGGCTAATGCTTGAACATTTTAAGCTGGGGTGGAGACAGTCCACAATTTGTTGCCAGGCAGATGTAGAGCTTGCTATGTTGGATGAAAAGCAATCTTAAAATCTTACATTCCTAAAGGAATGATCAGTAAACCTTTCCTATGTACATATTAAAGTGTTTTCTTTATATTACATCACAGGACATAGAACATCTTCATAACCATTACTATGGAAGTCTCCTTCTAGGCATAACCTCTCCCCATTAGTCAGGACTTCAGTTTTTTGCTAGTGTTTTTTTTTTCTTTGGTGTGAAGCTTAGAGGATTTCATTCTCACAAGTATGTTGTGTGTCGAGTCCTGGCTTTTCTCCAATCTGAAGCTGATCAGGGTTTCTCCTTGAGCAAGTGTTTGGGGTGGGAGTTCAGTCCCTCACCCATCCCAGAGAAAGGTGTAAATACTTTCGGGGGACACAGATATCTGTGAAGGCCAGGACTGGGTTCAAATCTTGACCAGGACTCCACAAATATAGGACATTTTTTGAGCCAATATCTGTTGTTTGAGTGTATTGACTTACATGTATTATATTAGCTTATCTTTACCTTATATACCTCTACATACATATGCTTTACTCACATCTCAACACAAGAATTAAAGACAATGAATGACAAAAGTACAAAGTGAACTGTGAGTTTGCAGCTGCAGTAATTACTTTTTTTAATATCAGATAGTGTGTGATTAAATACCTGCAAGAAAATTAAATTTACATGATGAATGGTGGAAGAAAGGAGGTTAAGGTATTGTGAGAGCTGATACGGTGATAATTGTGAAAATTATTACTTTGCTTAATTTATTTTGTTTCAGGAGATTTGACTTTGTAAATGTGAGCTGGGTTTCCAGGCATTTATCTTATTTAGCTGATTAGCAGCAAATACAATTGTTATCTTTGTTCTGTGGCTTAGCTGCTCCAGAACCAAAGAGGAAGCTGATTTAATACATGTGTTAATGGAACGTTACCCCAAATATCATCATCCTTCTTTTAGTTGCTGAATCAATTTTTTGCTCAAGCTGTTAAATTTTAGCATTTCCTCTAAGAACCTATAGGAGGGAATTTAGTAAAAACTGGTGAACTCACAATCTGGTGCAGCTGTGCATAGTAACCAATCAGCCTCTAACATCGGCTTGTTCAATTATGCTTTGACAGTAAAAGCTAGAAACTGATTGGTTTCTATGCAGCTGCACCAGATTGTGAGTGTACCAGTTTTAGTAAATCACCCCCTTTAGAATTACTCTTCCTTCAGACATAGGGGTTGATTTACTAAAGGCAAATGGACTGTACACTTTGCAAAGTGCAGTTGCACTCTGCAAGAGCAGTTGCTCTACAGCTTATTAAATGAGCAACACTCCGTTGACTTCCATCATCCAATCACATGCAAGCAAAAGGTTTTTTTTTTTGTTTTTTTTTTTTTTCATTTTCCCTGCACGTGATTGGGTATTCTTTGCAAAGTTAAGCTGTATCTTATTTACTAAGCTCTGGAACAAATGCACTTGCACTTTGCAAAGTCTATTTGCCTTTAGTAAATCAAGCCCATATTATCCTTGTGTGAGGCTCTAAGTGGCACCAGGTGTAAACAGACTTACTTTCCAGCTTCCTTCACCTCCTCTAGAACATGTTCCAGCATTCATTTTTTTACCTTGTTTTCTCTATCGAGACATGGCTTATATTAATCCTGTGACGTCATTAGGCTTGTAAAATTCTTGCATGGCCAGCTACTCTGGGATCATTTCTTATTGACATTGGCCTTCCCCTAAAACTTCCTTTCCCTGTGCACACCATGTGGACAGCTTATTTGGAAGCAAGACTGAAGTATTGTCTTTCTGGATGAGAAATCCAATGAGGTGGGGGATTAGCAGGACTCTGTAGTCATGAAGGCAAGGCTGACAACACTGGTTTGGGATTTCAGGGCTGCAGTGGCACTGTATTGTTGGCCCATACAAGCTGTTACTTTGGATTGTAGAAGAAAACCAAAGTTCCTTGAGGAACCCATGCAAGAACATACAAACTAACGCAGGCCATAGATGGGTCGTTTATCGGCCGATTTTTGTCCGCATGAAAAATCGGCCGATATTCATACCGTTAGTTGGGCCAGCCCATCGGCCTTTTTGCGGATCTCCTCATTTATTTTTATTGGTCATGCTGGAAATCCTCGAAAAACGGCCATTTTTCATGGACATGGGTGGCAGCAACGGGGCCGACCAATTTTTCGTTATATCAGCCGAAAATTCGGCCGATAAACGGCCTGTCTGTGGCCTGCCTAATGTGTACAATGCAACTGAATGAGCAATCTCAAGGAAGCCTTCTCCTAATTAGAATAGTAGTCTCAATGGGGACCTCATTGACCTGATGTCTAAATTTACTATTGATTCTTCTCTATTTGAAGCAGTAGTTTTCCACTTCTAATCTTTTTCCAGATCAAAAAATACTCAGTCTGCCAAATAGAATAAGCCATAACTATTGGTTATAATAGAGACTATGCTTACAGTAAAAAGCATGAGAAACAAGCCCAGAAACAAATGTTGCCATTTCAAAATCTCGATCTCTTACTTTCAGGCAGCTCAGCAGATCATTGAGCTTCAAGAAGCTGCCCAGATTAATGCAGGCCTTCAGCCGACCAACCTAGGAAGGAACAATAGTCTCCATGACATGAAAACCGTGGTGAAAACCTGGCGGAACAGACTGCCAATTGTTTCAGATGACTTGTCTCACTGGAGCAGTATCTTTATGTGGAGGCAGCATCATTACCAAGGTGGGTATAGCACAGGAGTTAAGACTTGCAGAGTTTGACATTTTGTATTGTGGTGAGAAAGATTCTTTGTTCAATAGAAAGCTGCTGTGAATAATCTAATTTCATCTAGTCAAGAAGCTGCCTGGAATTGTTTTGCAATTGCTCAAACCCTTTTGTGTCTTGTTTGCCAGCATTTACTAAATCTTTTCTAAACTTAAAGTGTACCTATACTGTGTTTGAGAACCACAATCCAAAAGCCCTATTATTTCATTTTTATTATTCAAAGCAAACTCACCCATCAATCCATGTTTTTATGCTTTATTTTACTGAATAATCACTTACAAAAACACCCCTAGCTTTTCTGGCTATGGCATTCTTGAGTAAGGGCAGATGGTTCATTTAGCAATCTTCTTGGCATCCTTCTGCCCTTGTCTCAAGTATGTATGCAGGCAAGAAGGTGTGTTTAGCTGGTAAAACCCCTTCTAAAGACTCCTGGGATGTATGACATAATTTGCCTAGTTTAAAACAAGTGAATATGATATACTTTTCATATCTATTAATGCTAGCAGCATTAGGATTAAAAATAGCAAATGTTGATTCAGGTAGTGGAGTTTCACTTTAATAAGACAACTGGGTTTAAAAACTGCCTGAAAAACTGAATGAGTGCTTTAGCCATTTCGAGGTGCATTGATGTCACTTCAGTTCTGTGATGCTCATATAGTTTTTCAGGGGTGACTGATATAGGCCCCTTTCAATGGGGCGGACCCATCAGTGGATCCGCTTGCTCAGTGGGGTATCTCTCTGCTGAGCAAGCTGCTGCAGAGCAGACACAGACACAGCCCGCTGTCCTCTATGGGCGGTTGGATGGAAACCGACCACCTGTCCGTTTCCATCTGATTCCGATCTGACAGATGGAAGGTGAATGGATCCCCAGCTGTCTCTTTTTATCGGATTGGATGTTGGTGGGTGTAAACGGACACCCACCGCTCCATAGAGGAGAATAGAGGTTCCGATCAGGTCCACCTGAAAAAACAGGCAGGCGGACCCTATCGGAACATTTGTGTGAAAGGGGCCTTAAGGATAGGGAGCCTTTGAAGGAGCCAGTACTTTGTTCAGTAGCATTTTTGTAAGTTCTTAGTAGTTCCCTAAAGTCTTTTAGTTGATTCATTTAATTGAAAGCACAAATGCTTTAGTGTATACTGGACTTTCCAAATTGATAGAGGATTTTCTAGGGCATGACCCATGGTGAAAGCAGGAAAGCAAAAAAGGCAGCCAATCAAATACATTTTTTATACTAGCAAGGAAAAGTTGCACATGGGTAGCGATGTACCCTGAACAATACAAGAAGTCCTCAGCATTCAATCTAATCAGCATAATATGTCTAGTTAGACTGTTTCTAACAGTTTAGAGTAAAAAGTTTTTTTTTTTTTTTATTACATAGAATTATTATTGTTATTATTTATTATAGGTACTTATATAGCGTAGTCAATTTGCAAAGTGGTCCTTTGCTTGCTTTTATCCAGCCCTCGAGGCATTATTCCTCCCACTGCTGTCAAAATTGTGGCATATTTTCTCCCACTGATATCGAAAATGGGGCACTATTCCTCCTATTGACAACAATGATGGGGCATTATTCTCCCATTGATACCAACAATGGGGCACTATTCCTTTCATTGATACTAACAATGGGGCACTATTCCTCCCATTGACGCCAATGATGGGGTACAATTCCTCATATTGAAACCAGTGATGGGACACTATTCCCCCATTGATACCAATAATGGGGCACTATTCCTTTCATTGATACTAATGAAGGGGCACTATTCCTCCCGTTGATACTAACAATGGGGCACTATTCCTCCCATTGATACTAACAGTGGGGCACTATTCCTCCCGTTGATACTAAAGATGGGGCACTTTTTCCTCATGTTGATATTAACGATGGGGCACTTTTTTTCCCGTTGATACTAACGATGGGGCACTATTTTTCCCAGTGATACGAACAATGGGGCACTATTTTTCTATTGATACGAATGATGGGGCACTATTTCTCCCATTGATATGAACGATGGGGCACAATTTTTCCCATTGATATGAACGATGGGGCACGATTTTTCCCATTGATACAAACGACGGGGCACTATTTTTCCCATTGATACAAACGATGGGGCACTATTTTTCCCATTGATACCAATGATGGGGCATTTTTCCTCCCATTGATACTAATGATGGGGCATTGTTTACCCCCAGTGATGCCAGGGCATTTTTCTTCTCCCACTGGTCACAGTCTGGCCACCCTAAAGTTTGAAGGACAGTAAACCAGCCCTTTTGTTTAGAAAGTTTGGAGACCCCCGATCTAAGGTCTCTAACTCACATTCACATACTAGGGCAAATTTAGGTAGGAGCCAGTTTGCTAATATATCTGAAGCAGCACTGCTGCACCACATTAAATATGAACATATATTGGTTTATTGAATCAAAAATAATTGCATTATGCTCCTTATAAACACATCTGTTAATACTTTTATGAGAACGGAAACAACCCTCATCAGACCTGCTGAAACAAGTTGCATTGCTTTCAAAAACAATTGGGCTTACATGGTCCAGCCGAAGTCAGCCACACTTTGGCAGATCAGAGAATTACAAGCAGTGAAGACCTGTTTGTACTTGTCTACATTAATGATGGTTCCATTTCCTTTTCTATGGAACGGATGACTGTGTTAGATGTTTTGCATCATTTTAGCATGTTTTGCATCTTCCTTAAGTCCCATTAGCAAATATCACTTTTTTTATTGTCTTAATTCAATATGTGTTTAACTCTCAATACCAGTGTTTCTAGCTTCTATGGAATACTGTAGCCCTATTCTGTTGGCTGTTATTTTTTGCCCACTGATGTATACCAACTTATTTAAAACCGCTAAAACCAACACCCAGCTTTTCCTGGGTAGTTTTCAACAAAGCAACCATTCGCTCAAAACCGTACACAACAACATCTGGTATGACTACTGGCTGATCATGATTATTCATTTGCTGTATGGAATAATTTGCATGGTATTCACAGTAACACCCAGCTGCAGTTAAAAGTGGAACACTAGCCAAGAATATATTAGCTTTGTATAGACTGTAAAAGGGTTACCCTTAGTTGTTGTTTCTATTGTGGTCTTTGTCTCTGTTGAACAGATTTAACATAGCTTCTTGTATTGTCAGGACAAGAAGTCATCAGAATCTCTCTAAGGCCTCGTTCACACCCCATATGCAGAAGAACTGATGGAAACTGACGTGCAGATTTCTCTTGCAGAGACCACAGTTTACATCCGTTTTCATGCACGCTTCAATAAAGCAGAAACAATCTGCACGTGATACCAGTATAGTGGTATGAACAGGGCACATAGAGAACAATTGATTTAATTGCGCCCTTGCAGAAGACATGCAGAAAAACTGACGTCTCTGCACTGTGGTGTGAACGAACTCTAAAGGGGATTGACACAGTAAAAAAAATCTCCTTTTTCTATTGGGGTATGGTTAGAACCCTTTGTGGTTTAATGAGGTCTGTGTCTCCATTCAGAACAATGCCTTGATGTCCTTTTGTATTCACTAAAAAGTGAGCAAATCTCCCTCCCCTAAGAACTACAATTAAAACCTGATAGTCAATCTAATTTGGCAAATAGTTTTGCCTGGACTTCTACTTTGATGCATGAAAAGTCATTGGATGGAGGTTTAATTATTTGCTTATGTAGCTGGCTACAGTGCTTATCTATACAACTACAAATTGCTTGATAACCTGAGTAACTTTAAATCTGGCCATTCTGTCACTAGCTTCAAATGCCAGATGTCAGTTGTTCAGTAATTGACCTACAAATTGCTTGGAATTTCAGCAACTCAGACCTCATATACCATTGGTGGAAGAGTTTCTGTGCTATCTAATAATACCATGTGAAAGCAAACACAAGATTATACATCATTCTAATTGCATCATTATAATCATATCAGCTAGAAATATTAACTTTGTAAACTGCCGATTGCTGTTATATTATTGTATGTTTATCATGTTTGTAGTTATCAGTGAGGCTAATAATCTTCCATGAACATTTTAAAATCAATGCTTCCAGTGCATGAATGAATCACTCGTAGTAACTTATTGTCATCTGATAGCTATAGTGAATGCATATGACAACAGCACTCAACATGATCCAAGCTCCAACAATGCAATGCTGGGTGTGCACGCCTCCGCCTCTGCTATCATCCAGTATGGAAAGATCGCCAGGAAACAAGGACTGGTGAATGTAGCACTGGACATTCTGAGCCGTATTCACACCATCCCTACAGTACCCATTGTGGACTGTTTCCAGAAGATCCGACAGCAGGTCAAATGTTATCTTCAACTGGCTGGAGTCATGGGGAAGAATGAATGCATGCAGGTAAGCTCCTAAGTGGAGGAGTAGTGGGTACAATGACAGGTCACGGCAGCTATAGGCTTCATGTGTAAAATATTTTTGGGTATTTTATGACCTAAATACAAAATTTTACATTGTGAATGTGTTAGTTTCAGGCCTGTGAAATACTGAAAACACAAAAGACAGGGGTACTTCTAAAAGTATAAACCAAACCTAATTATCAATCAGTGCAGCCATACGTGATTACCCCTTACACCATAAAAAAATCATCAAACACAAACATAAGTCTAAGACTGCTTATAAATCAATAATTGAACAAGGTTGCTTCAAGTACGATAGTGGTTGCACTCCACCCCTCAGTAAATTATGCAGCAAAAGATGCCAAACAACCCTCAAACCTTCACTATTAAATAATAATACAGTTCAAAGTAGTAAGATCTTCCACCAAATTATCGACCTGTCCCAATATTTCTTTGCACCAATATAGCACTGGTGATCAATTATAGAAGATATTGGGACACTTGGAAGATCTTACTACTTTGGACTTTATTATTATTTTATAGTAAAGGTTTATGGGTCACATGGCATTTTTAGCTGCATTACTAAAAGTATGTTTCAATCTTTTAATGTCCAGAGTGAATAGAGCTCACCTTGTTGTCTTTAATGGTTTCAATATTTCAAAGACCTGAAAATATGTTGTAGACGGGTCTTAGGGTCATGGTCTGTCTCAGGAGGGTTAGGTATAATCATTGTTCAGTGTGTGTGCCAAGTATTTGACCCACACAGATACCATTTGTATAGCTGACTCACACATACATTGATATGAACACTTTATGTGAGATTAGAGCACACTGCAGGGATTTTGTTTTGTAACCTAATAAGGTGCTTTTTCTAAAACAGGGACCTAAATGGCAATATAAAACATGACACAGGTTCTAACTTCATCACATTATGCAAGGCAAAAGAAAAAATGCTGACCAAAGTTTCAATTTAAGTCTAATGAAAAATGCATTAGCTGATGTAAAATATTTGGTTGTACTCACTCTCAGCTCATACAAATGCAATTTAAAATATCTGTCAAAGTGTAAAAACATTTACATGTATATCTGTAAATGCTCCAAGTAATGTTTTTGTGATGTTATTTTAGTTTTACATTTAACGTTCTTTTAATGGAATAATGTAGGGAATTGTGACCAATTTGGCATGTCGGAAGTATAAGCAAAAGCTTAACAATCTGTCATATAACTGAACATTTATTTATCAGATGAAATGATCCTTAGTGCCAGAAAAAAAAAAATCTGATCATTCTAAGAAGATAAAAGAATAACACAGCAGAGAGCCTTTGATATCCTGCCATTAGGAGATTAGTTTAAGTGCATAAACAGCCCGCAAGTTTATCGGTTCTTTAGTTAGACAGTAGCCAGACCAGGGTCAGATGATGGAGTGAGCAGAGACAGTAGGGAGCACTGCTAAAAGAAAAAAAAAAAAAGCCAATTACCAAATCCTGAAGTGTTAATTTGACAAGTCTGGTTTAACCTTGTGCAAGGACCCATTAGCTGCAGTGTTTTCTCTGTAGGACTCTGCCTTTTCATGGGATAATTTCCTGGGAGCTTTACAAGTGCATTTTGTAAAATAAAGCTTGGCTGGAATGCCTAAGCCCAAAACGGTTTAATAATAAGTCTAGGAGTGACAGTAAATCCCAGAGTGTTTTCTTCCTTTATCATTCATTTATTATAAGAAGGGGAAATGGATACCACTACATAATTATAAGGTCTTCCCATTTCCTTACCTTAAAGAAGACCTAGAGTGGAAACCAGAAAATGTCATGTGTATGTGCAAACGGCAGCAGCACGGGAGGTTAGTAGGCATCTGTATGCAGCAGGAAAGGTGGAAGAAATGCAGATCCACAAAGTGAATGAAGTTGGAGCCAGAAGGTTCTTGCACTGCATGTCCCTGGGTACTGTTTTCTCTTAAAACACCACAGTAATTACATCACCAGTTGTCATTACAGTGCTCAGAAAGATCTTGAGAATAGCTATCATCAGATACAGAGTAGGTGATGAAGGCTTTAGCTCTCTTAAATCAGATATGCAACTAAGAAGCTACAGGAAAAGGAATGGTACATATGAGAAAGGGACTACATCTTGTCATGAGGCATTCAAGGCAAAATGTATATTTTTAAAAGTTTTGTTTAGCCACAATTAACCTTACTAAATATCGCTTTAAAACATTGAAACTTCACTTTTTCATTTCTCTCTCATACTTTTCCCTTCATGCCCCTTCTCTCTCACTTCCATCCTTGTTTCAGAGTAAAGCACCTGCCTAGGTTTTTCTGGATCAAGGTACCGTTGACCCACTTTATGTAGCAGAATATTTTCAGAGATTTTACTTTAATTGGTTTTCTATTCCCAAGTGCCAAGGGAACATATGTCTCATTCTGGGTCTCAAAACTCTGAACATCTTCTTTTGAGTCCATATTCTTCATGAAATGTACCAGATTGTTGTTTTTTTCCTATCCCCAGGGAGACTTTCTAGCTTCTGTGGACATAAGATGCTTACCTACACGCCCTTATCTTTCCAGTGACTCAGTGATTCTTATGCTTTGCTCTGGGCCCCTTGCATTACCAGTTTGTGTCTCCGCCCTTCGGCCTCTTGTATGGACCTCAGGTATTCACCATGGTGTTGGCTTCAGTGCTAATCCTGATGTGCTCTTGTGGCATCCCCATTGTGGGATACCTTTCTGTTCAGAGAACAAACTCAGTCTCAGTCACAATGTGATGTTTTCCTTCCAGGCGTTGCAGAAATTCCTATGTATTCTTAGCTTTCATAAATCATCGCTGGAACAAACTCATCATTTAGAGTATCTGTGTCTAGTCCTTGACACCACTAAGGCCAGAGTGATCTATCCACAGGAGAAACTTCAGACACTCTGGTCCTGGATTTGAACCATCAAATCAAAGACGCTCTGCTTTTGTATGAGTGTCCTAGGATTGATACTTTTTTGTGGCAGTTCCATTTGCCCAGTTGTACTCCAGATCCTTGCAAGGCAACATTCTGGTATCCTTGAACTAGTCAATCTAGTCTCTGGACGGAACTCTGCATCAGTCACGAGGAACAGGCTGTCTCTGCCCTTGTGGCTCAGGGATACTCATGAAAAACACCATCCTTCAAAACTGGATTCAGTCAGACAATGCAAAGGTGGTGGCGTACATCAGTCATCAATGAGCAACCATGTTCTGAGTCGTAGATTGTGTCCTGTCCAGGCAAAACTTCATGTTCCGGCCTTATCAGACCTGTACATCCTAGGTATTGCAACTGGCAAGCAGAGTTTTGGAGCTGGCAGCAGCTAGACCTGGGGAAGTGCTCCCTATACCCGGAGGTGTTTCAGGAACTGTGTTGTAGATGTAAAATGCCAGATCTGGACCTCCTGGCCTCCAGGTTCCACACAAATTGGACAAGTTTGTCTCAAGATACAGGGATCAGTTACCTAAACAGTTATCCTGTGGTGACTCTGTGGGATCAGTACACCCTGATGTATGTCTTTTTTCACATGAAACGTCTTCCTCACCTGCTTCTCAAGATCAAGATGGATCCTCATTGCTCAAGGCTGGCCAGGTGCATGTGATACGCCAGCATGGTAAAACTCTATGGGTTGTGCCAGATCATCAAGATCTTCTGTCCCAAGAATCGGTTTGTCATTCTACTTCACAGTCGCTGACTTTAACAGCATGACTGTTGAAGGCACTGTTTTGAGGGACAGGCATTTCTAGGCCTCTGATTCTTTTTTTTTTTTTTTTTTTTTTTCCAAGAAATTTTTTATTGAGATATGAAAGGCATAACAAGTCATAAACAAATACGGATCGCAGTCCGCGCAAGTCTTTTAGCATGTTCTCCCATAACGCAGACGGGATCAGGACATATAAGTAAATCGTAGCTCAACCTGAAATACAGTCCTAAGGGGAAGGGTATATACCCATAGCAATGATGTTAGCAGTATGTAATTTATAGAAATACGGGGTACAATAGTCCTTGTGTAGGGAGATCAGGCCTCTGATTCTTATGATGCTCAACTGTAGAAAGTTTATATCTTGCAAGGGTTATCATTTAACATAGAAGGCTTACTTTACCTGATATGAGTCTCAGAGGTTCCACCCCAGGAGTTTCTCTGTGCGATGAACCTGCAGCTGGGTCAAGAACAGCATTTGGCTCTCCACACCATCAAGGTTCGGTTTCTGCCCTTTCTATTCTGTTTTAGAGACTGTTGGCATCTTGCTGTTTGTTCAAGACTTTTGTACATGGGATTTTCCATGCAGTTCCCCCATTCATTCTACTGTTACTCTCCGAGTTCTAAATCAGGGGTCTCTCTGCACTTAAGAAACCACTGCTTGAAACCCATTAGACATATTCCTTTCTCTACTTTCACCCATCAAGAGATATTTCTTGTAGCCATCACTTCTGGGAAATGAGTGTGTGAACTGGCGGTCTTATCCTGCAAAGAACCCTTTCTTTTTTTGCATTGGGACAATCCTCCTTGCCTATGGCGGTTTCTCCAAACCAGTACATTGTACATCTGTTCCTCCCTCTGACTCCAGTTCATCAAAAGGATATTTGTGCTTTGGTGTTCAGGCTGTGAGATTCTATCCTTTCAGCAAGACTGTCTTTTGCCTTTTGTATTCTTGCCATAACTCTAACTTTAGATGTGCGGCTTACCTTGCCACCCCTCTGATAATCAATCCGATGCTGGATCACTTTTCAGAGGAATTTGACAGGCCATGAGGAGGTGATATGTTCTCTCCTCCATCAATTCTAACCCTGTAAATGCAGCATCGCCATGCTTCAACCATATCTATTACACTCAGTTGCAGAGCGGGTGCAGCTCAGCTTCATTCATTTGAGTGGATTGCGTTCAGCGTTACTGCCTGACAATGTTGGGGTATAATATATGCAGTGGGATGTGTACACCCTCTGTCCAACTGCAGTAAAAAAAAAAAAAAAAACTTGCAGCCCCAAGTGTATACAAGTCTTAAGGGTGCATCGGCTTCTAGTTCTACCATTTCTAGTTTGCTCAGGCAGATCATCATCCAAGCTTATGGTCTCAAAGATTGCGGTCCTGCCTTTCCATTTTACAATGTCTGTGAATGCTTCTTGGACTTTTCAGCATCATGCAACTGGTTTTGCAAGGCTGCTACTTGTTCTCCAAGTTCTACCAGCCTCATCTTTTCAGCCCCATTTTTTTCTGCTATGTTGCTCACTCCTCAGTTGGACTGCTTTTGGATGTCCGAACACTCTAAGACCTTCTGTTTTCTTCAGTGTATGAGATACTAAATAGTATTTTTGTTATCACCATAAAATCCATTGAGGGACATAGTTCCCACTCCCTCCTGTGTTTATGATCTTGCTCTGAGTACTGCTTTGTTGCAAAACTGAGGCATGCTGGTACGAGGCATTATTCTTGGGCGCCCCACCGTTTTTATGTTTGCCATTGTCCAATTCTCCTGTAGGCAACGGTATTACCTGAAGGTTAAAGATCTCCTGTGTCCCTCAATGAACTCCAAGAAAAGGATTTTGCAGCGAGTACAAAAATCCAAATTTTTTTATCTTCAGTGTAGCTCACAATGACAAACACAATGCATTATTGGCAAGTCCAGTGTCTATTTTTTGCGCTTGCTGAAAATGTTCCTACTTTGCCTGACAAATGAAAACTAATGCAGCTACAATGTATCACATTTTTGTTCTTGGGTTTATTTATCCTTTAACTATTGATTGTGCCAAGGTCTTTAATTTGTGCAACAGTTTTCTTGGCCCTTTTGATATTTTGAAATGGAACTTTTCACTCAATATTAAATGTATTTTTCTTTTTACCTTACAGGGTCTGGAGGTGATTGAATCAACCAACTTGAAATACTTTACAAAGGAGATGACTGCTGAGTTCTACGCATTGAAGGGAATGTTTTTGGCTCAGATTAACAAGTATGTTTACAACAGATTGCTAAATGGAAGATCTTCTTAAAGGGAACTATTCCCAATCTGGGAATACTTCTGGGCAATTAAAACTGAGCACATGATGAAAAAATTCACAAGTAGAGGTTACCTGCATTGGAAGCCACATGTCATAACGATGAGTTAGTCCAGAGTTATAGGTAGCTGAAATTATTTACATTTTTTTAACAATTGATTACAAGTCTTGGCTTTCCATTTCAAATTCCAGCTTTAGCTGGCCGCCTCTCTACATCCAACCTTTCTTATTGATCCTGAATGGGATTGGCCAACCTGACTGACCAAAATGGAGGTGTGGAAGGTGAGATAGCTAACTGAACATTTTACAGAATTTGCAGGGGAATTCAGCTATCTTCAATTCTACTCATCATTTTTACATGCAGTTGCCATTGAAGGCCATTTTTGCCTATACAGATTACAGCAGAGGCTCAGTTTGAACCACCAAAGGTTGTGATATATTTGCATTAATGAAAATGTTTTTACCTTTCTGAACATATTTCATGTCATATCTGCATTTAGAGTGTAAAATGTAACATGTTCAGCAACCTCCCACCCACACACCCCCCTTCTCTGTGACAGCGAGCCAGGGATCCTCACCCTGCACCTGCTGTCAGATTTCAATAACAGTACAGGGCTCTGTTCACACAGCCGCTTAATTTATTCACAGGAATATGTGAATGAATGAACTACAAGTACCATGTTCCACTGTGGCAAATGGCTTATAGTTCTCAGCGAACTGCAAGGGCACTGATGGGTGCAATGCTCTGCAGGCTTCTGAAAAAAGAAATAATAAATGCACTTTTTTTTTTTACCTGCAAAAATGTGCATTTATTATTTTTTGTAAAACCTTTAAATTTGATTATTATTATGCAGAATTTATATAGCACCAACAGTTTGCGCAGTGCTTTACAAAATGAAGGCAGATATTAAGTTACAATACAATTTGGTACAAGAGGAACTAGAGGGCCCTGCTTGTTAGAGCTTACAATCTTAAAGGAAGGGTTGAGTGATGCAAAAGGTAACAGCTGTGGGAGATAAGCTGATGGAGGAAATAAAAGGCAGTTTACTAGTTAGAAGCAGGACAGGCTTCTTTAAAAAGAGAGGTTTTTAGGGATCATCTAAAGATGGATAGATTAGAAAATAGCCAGACAGATTGGGGTAGGGAGTTCCATAGGATGGGAGAAGTCCTGGAGGTGAGCATGGGAGGAGGTGACATGGGAACTAGAGAGCAGAAGGTTTTGGGAGGATCAAGGAGAGTGATTTGGTTGACATTTTGAGACCAGGTTGGTGATGTAGCTGGGGGCTTGTAAGTTCTTGTTAGTATTTTGAATTTTATTCATTGGGCGAGTGGAAGCCAGTGGAGGGATTGGCAGAGAGGGGTTGGTAAGGTGGATAAGCCTGGCAGCAGCATTCATGATGGACTGGAGGGGGGGTAGCCTATGTAAAGGTGAGCTAATGAGAAGGAAGTTGCAGTAGTCGGGATGAGAGATAACCAGGGAGTGAATTAGGAGTTTTGTGGTATCATTGGTATCATCAGCGGGGGTTGAGGTGGCATAATTTGGGCAGGGATTGGATATAGGCCTTGCTGGGTCTTAGTCTTAAATTCAACAAGATAATTGTATTATTGGCAACTTTACTTTATTTCAGCAGCAGAATTACATTATTTAATGTATGAGGGCAAGGCATTGTTAGCATCCCTTTAGCTGTATCTGCTTCTTGTTTTTGCAAACCAGAAGATAACGGGCCAAACTACTTTATTTCCAGGTCCAGTCCTAGGTTTATTTAACTTGTTCTGGATGTGTCCCTATTTCTAAATGCTAATGAACTTTGGTAAAGTTGTTTAGAAAAAAAAAAAATCATTTATTAACAATGCTACTTAAAGAAAAAAGTTGATTCTCTTTGGGAATATATGGAGTATGCATTCCTGAGAAGGGATCTGGGATGATTGACTCACCACACAAATCCAGAATAAGGGGCAATGTGCTCATTGAGATCATGGACAGCAGTATAGATTTACTGGGGGTCCAATCCTTCCCTTATCCAGATTGTGACAAAATAAGAGAATAGTGTCACTTAAAAAGTGAATATATGTTAAAAGCGTTCATATTCTTTATGCAGACCTCAGCATGGTGACCGGCTTTGCTAAAAAAGGGCCAGGATGAGCAACATAGAGGTGTTTGAATTTTAGTAAAGTATGCTTTTAATCTGAGCATGCATTCTGAAGAAAGACTGCACACGACAGTCCTGTAAAGGTCAGCTGTGGCCGCCCATTTTTCTTTACCTCCTAGTTTGTGAACAAGGTGATAGCACAAGTATGAAGAAAGTCATCAGAGGTGTCAGTGTGATAGATCGCTCAGGCGAGGACAAAGAAAGGGAAGGCTTTGTGACAAATCTGGTTAGAAAGAGAAAGTGTTGATAAAGTGACTCATTTATCAGCCTGCTCCCTCAGTAATAGCACTGCTGAACTTCCCAGTTCATGAGAGAGTAAGGTGTTTTTTCTTCCTTCCTTCTCTAATTTCCCCTTCTCTAAAGCAAGGAAAGAAATTGGTTCTGCTATATTAAGGCTAATTAGCTTTTTAATAGACTTGCTGTCAGCTAAAGTTATTAGCTTATGCATCATGCTTTCTTAAGTACTGGTAGCAGCAAAGGGGGAAGAGGTGAAGATAGTTTTTCGTTGTGTAATATGGTGTTTAACCTCTTTCCATCAAATATACTTGCCTTTCTCAACCTTTTCAATACAGGAATCCTTGAAATAACTTTCTATACTCTGGGAACCCCTGCTAAAAATTATTATATCTACAACTTTTGATTCATTAGTATGATGGTCTGTGGGAAGAATGCTCCCTATGCTTGTGGTCATTTGGGAGAATTACCCCTTTACAGATAGCTAAAAAGATAATTGGTGTCAGTAAAAACTTATCTGAGTGGCAAAAATTGCTCAAGGAACCTTAGCAACCTCTTGAGGAACCCTGGTTGAGAAACTCTGGAATAAATGGTGGACCTCAGCTGTCACTCTATTGATGCTTAACCTCCTCGGCGGTATGATTATTTCCGATTTTGTGCTGAAAGCGGTACCATTTTTTTTGCATGGAAATATGTAGTTTTTTTATTGTACGCTGTAATTTTTAGGAATAACTCACTGAAATCTGTACGAACAAGAGTCTAGTAAACATCCCGGGTAGGATAAAATTTGAAACACGAAATTATAATTTAACAAATAATCATTTAAAAAAAAAAATAATAATATAATAATAAATTTAATTCAATAATGTAATCAAACCAAAAACACTGAAATTTGAAATACAGAGGAAACTTTGCACATTGCTGAGCAAAGTTGCAAAATCGTTTTCAGTGTCTGATGACGAATTTCCCCATGAATCATTATCACTCAATTCTGCAAGTGGTTCTGATTTACTATCACTGTTCTCTAGCTGGTCTAAAACCGCTTTTGACGTAAAGGGACGCTTTTTGGACGCCATGGACTTTTCTAAGTTTCCAGATATAGTGAATGCAGGGTCCTGGGTTTAGGAACACTTTACAGAACCTCTGTATAGCTACCATTGCAGGGTCCTGGGTTTAGGAACACTTTACAGAACCTCTGTACTGTGTTTGTTTACCACAGTGTTTTTTGTAATAATTCTCAATTTAGAGAATAAATATGCAAATACATATTTGTGGAAGTAATTAGTCAGGATACATAAATGAGCCAGTAATGGTCCAATTAATCAGTTATAAATGCAGAGTATGATGAACATTAAAACATGTCTTAGTACTCTTGGCCCCCTGATATAGCTGGAAGCAAATTCGTAATGCAGCATTGTAATGATGTTTAAATGAGCCTGTATGCCTCCTACTGACTTGTGTTGGGGGGCTTATTTTAATGGTAATATCTGGTAGGTTTTATCACTTTATTCTAACTATGATGGGAAATGTGCTCGTCTCTTATAAGGTCTGAAGATGCAAACAAGGCTTTCTCTGCTGCGGTGCAGATGCATGATGTGCTGGTCAAAGCATGGGCCATGTGGGGTGACTATCTAGAGAACATTTTCGTGAAGGAACGCCAGCTGCATCTGGGTGTGTCCGCTATTACATGCTACCTCCATGCATGTCGCCATCAAAATGAAAGCAAGTCCAGGAAGTATTTGGCAAAGGTATGTGTTCATGTCCAAGTTAAAAGGGCATTTTTTTTTTAAAAATAAATAAGACCACGTTGAGATTGTAGGAAAACGCCACAAGAGTATGGAAACTGTAAACAACGAGACCTGTTTGAATATATGCAAACTGCAACTTGGACCCCTGTCTGGCAAAATACATGGCTATAATATGTGGTGCACAAAACCCACAGTGCAATATGGGGCTTGAAGTGTAATTTGCGGCACTTTTATACACACCACCATTTTAACTGAGAGCACTTTAACACTGATCCACATTGTAACTTGTGGATACTTAATACTGACGGCCTCACAGATCTTTAATAGGATTCTCCCAAATAAATATAAGGAATACAATTCTCATATAATTATTGAAAAATGCAATTTTCATAAAGTTTTTCAATGATCAGAATAAGAATCTTCATGAACTGATATAGAGAAAGTCCCTTCTGTCCGTGTGCTCAAAATATCAGTAAATAAAATCACACACTAGAGAGAAACCATCACCTCCAGCCTCTCGCCTGATGAAAAGACCTACTGAACGTCGGTCTAATCACGCCTTTAACACTATTATCCCTGGGTTATGGGAATAATCTTCCTCTATGGATCCTCCAGATAGCCAATATTAACAGAATATCGATTTACATTACTTTCTGTCACTACTTTTTTTTTTTTTTTCTGTGTACCCTCTGACGAAGCCACACAGACGTAACGCATAAGAGAGCTATGTGGGGTGAGTGACACGCTATACCGGTATACCACTTCCCCATTGACCGGGACCACACAGATTGCACACACAGGAGAACACCAGGTGTAAAGAAGGGAGGGTGGACGCGGACCCTACTTGTGGAGTCTCCACCAGCCACTGCAGTCATATGGATTTGTTTTGATAATGCTGGTACCTGTAGTGCACCAGAATAGTGCACTTTACTTGTACTATTTTAATTCTTCTTTTTAAAAAAGTATACATATAGGTACACACTATATCAGCATTTGTTTTCCATGTAAATCGATGATCCTTTAATATTGGCTATCTGGAGAATCCATAGAGGAAGATTATTCCCATAACCCAGGAAATAATAGAATTAAAGGCGTGATTACACCGAAGTTCAGCAGGTCTATTCATCAGGTGAGAGGCTGGAGGTGATGGTTTCTCACTAGTGGTGATTTTATTTACTGATATTTTGAGCACACAGACGGATGGGACTTTCTCTATATCAGTTCATGAAGTTTCTTTTTCTATCTGATCACTGAAAAACTTTATGAAGATTGCATTTTTCAACAATGATATGAGAATTCTATTCCTTATATTTATTTGGGAGAATCCTATTAGAAGATCTGTGAGATTTCAGCATCTGATTTGGACTGTTTCAGTTTTAATTATTGTGATATCTGCAGCGCTGCCTTGCTAGTTATATTTGATATTGTTATATGTGTTGTGATTATATGAGGACATAGCAGCAGCAGATTGTGTATGTTAACATTTTATTAATTCATAATCTTTGCATATCGTATTAGGACCAATCACAGGTTCACCTTATTTATATATACTGACGGCCTGTTTGACTTGGGGGCACTTTTACATTGACTGACTGTGTCACTCCAAACCCCACAATCTCCTCTTCATTTCTTCTATGTTGACTAATTGAGGAGCTAAGAAAGTTGGATAAGGCAGAATCGAACTCAATTTTGACAGAAAAATATCAGGAGCTGTGTGTAACTTCAGCTACATATGTCTCTGGATCTCCTGATTGTATTGACATAGAATATAGTCACTTTGACATATTGACAAACACACCTGAGTTTTGGTGCTTTTATTTCTTGGGAATATATGTTTGTTATTTTTAATGATTAACTACTTCCCCTCTCACCCATGTACACCCCTTTTATGCAGTTTTTACATTTGTTATGGATCTGTTTATTCCTACTTAAGATAACAAAGTAATACATACAGTATATTGTTTTTAAGGACAAATAAGGCTTTCTTTCCATGGTATTGTCTGCAAACATGATTTTTTTAATGCAATCCTTAGAGGGGAAAAAAAAAATGAAAAAGCAATTTTTTTTTTTACTATTGTTTTATATTATAATTTGTCTTATTTAAAATGACGCTAAAATTATGATTTGGGTACAAAGCATTGCAAAGGTATAACAAATGAAATAAAAGGGTGTTTTTTTCTAATTTTACATTTCTATCAAACTAAATAAGCCTAAAACTGCTGCCATCCCCTTCTACCTCCTATACTAACTACCCTGTTGAAGGAAGATGTATATACTTACCTATTCTCAGGCTGCTCCAGTCCAGTTACATGATCCCCCCAGTGGCAGGCTTCAGGGAAGAGCGGTGATAATGGCTGGAATGCCTTGGTGGTATCACCCATAGGCTTAGTCTGGGGCATCTTTTTTTCGGCTGTCCCTACTCTCCCCTGAAGCCACCACTGGGAGCAGATCATGTGAGCAGACTGGAGTGGCCTGAGAATAGGTTAGTATATACATCGTTCTTCCACAGGGTAGTTAGTATAGAAGTTGAAGGTGGGTTGGAGCCACTTTAAGGGAGACGGTGAAGAAGTTAATTAGGGCTGATTAGAGTAAACTAAGGGGTTAAATGGACACATTTTATTTAAAAAAAAAAAAATTCTTTAACTGACTGCATTAACTATTGCTTTAACTGACATCTGCAGATCGAAGATCATCTTTTTGATGTGCAGATGAATGAAACAGAGTAGATACAAAAGTAGCAATGTTCTTTTCATGTCTGAACAGTGTTGATAGTTTTTTTTGACACCAGCAGCTTCTAGAGCTGCTATATTTGCACAGAAGCTTCCAGCTTCATTTTCAAACCTGATATAACTTTTTATTTTTTTTTCTCAAAGGTTTGATTGAGGAGGCCTGTGAATATGCAAACTAGTTCAAAAGAATAAAGTTTGTTCTTAATGGTCACGTGATTCCAAGGAGGAGTGGTTTCACACAGGTCCCAGGATTTTAGTGCCTATGTTAAAAATGCCATAGCAGGTGATTTCAGGGAGGGCAAATATTCCTAAGTGGACCTAAATTCCATTGCCAGTGCTCAGATATTTTGCTTTCATGTGCAATTATACATAGCATATTTGCACAATATTGCAGGTTTAGCTGCCAAAGTGACACCCCCCTTCCTTAGCAACATGATAGTCACGATCTAACTAGACCTTCTGTGGTCAGCACTAATATCTTCACTTCAGATCCACTTTAGATTCAGCGGTTGATGGCCATCTTGATTGACTGGCCATGGATGACGTAACTCCCATGCATGTGCAAGGTAGTTATTTCATTTCAGCAACAAGGGCATGCTGAGAATGTACACTGATGTGTGTGAGTATGCTGCTCAGTGTCAATTATACAGAAACCTTCCTGGCAGTCAGGAGAGCAGCTTTAAATTCAGAAATTATATACATCATTTGCAATAAAGACCTCCCTGTCAGCAGTGTTTTTGTGAGAGACTTTAGTTCCACTTTAATTAGCTATGCAGCAGTTCATTCTACCACCAGTCCACAATTAATCAAAAAGTATTAGCCATTGCACATGTGGCTGAAGAACTCTTCACTTTTAAGTGTAGGTACACTACTACTTTTTATATATATATTTTTCTCAGTCTAACAGTGGAAATATATTCTGATTCCAGGTACTCTGGCTCCTGAGCTTTGACGATGACAAGAACACACTGGCAGATGCGTAGACAAGTACTGCATTGGTGTTCCACCTATCCAGTGGTTGGCATGGATCCCACAACTTCTCACCTGTCTAGTTGGCTCAGAAGGAAAACTCCTTTTAAATCTCATCAGCCAGGTAAGCTGTGCTGCTCTTACATCAAAGCATAGATATAAGCACTAACAAAGAAAAGAGAGCTACACCTAAAGAAGGAAAACTGCTTTAAAACTGAATTCCAGGTAGATATGACAAAAACACAATTTCTTTCTCATCCATTAAGAGACATGGGAAGTCTTTCACCTTCAGGTTATACTGCCGCTTACAGGAGGATTGGACACTAGCAACCAAAAAAACTGTAGGCTAGCCTAGGATAACCTCTTCCACTACCAGCATTCCAGGGAAAAGGTAGCGTTGAGGCCTGGGCGTTCCATCTTGCCTAAGAGTTTCTGCCCTCCATCTTGGCCATGACAACGTTCTTCAGATGTTCTATCCTGCTCCATTACACCAAACAAAATTTTGCTCCATTGCCTGGATGTGGTTCCTGCTGTGACAGTCTTTTAGCTGCTATTTCTATCAGACTGGTTCCCTTTTTGTCATGGTCCCCATAGAGAGGTACACCAGCTTCTTGTTCCTTCATCTCCAGGTGATTCAAACAGACCATCGTTGAAGAATATTACCTAAACAACGTTGAGAAAAGTTCCTTTTCTGTCGAGGTGCACTGTACTATATCTGTGAGTGCTTTTAGGGCTTTTTGGCATCAAGCACCTGTTTCCCAGATTTGCAAGCCTGGTCTGTTTTTCACATGTTCTCTAGTTGAACATTACAACCCCATCTGATGTCAGCTTTGGTGTAAAGTCCTTCAGGCAGTGCTTTGAGCTGCAGGCAGTCTACAGTTCTCTGTTGTTTTCTTGGGCCTATTAGCATTTGTATCAGTCTTGGTTAAATAAGAGAGGGCCAATAACATTGGGGAAAAATGAGACTTCTGCAGATGTTCTGTACAGAAACCCCCAGTATTCACTATGTTGTGAGGAAGCAATGTTTTAACAGTTAAAAAAAAGTTTTAAAAAAAATCATACCTGGCTGCAGCTTGAAATCAAAAGAAAAATGTTATTATCAAATTACTTATGCTGCAGTTGTATGTTTAGTACATTTTTAGTGAAAGTAGAGTTTACTGTTAATGAACAATTTTCTCAGCATGGTGAGAAGCTGCAAGTTTCTATCAATAAATTATTTCCCTGTGTGCGTGGGTATGTTAACACAACCACTGTGCTGTTTGGCATGTGATCTTTCCTATGACACGTGTCTTGAAGCCATATATTTGTGTTTTGATAGCCTTAGATTATCTCTCAGCAGTGTGAATGCATTCCTTCAGGGGGGCCTCCATTTCAGAGGACCTAAACTGTTAAAGCTGTGTTTAAAAGCACTCTGTAAATAGATTTAAATAGTTGGTATATCATATTATTGAGCTCGTGCCCTGGCTAATTATTTCATAAAGGCAAATGGAAATGAGTAGCAATTGCCTCATATTTCACTATAATTGTTCTGTGCATTGAGCAGAATACTAAAAAGTAGGAAATAGCTTCTGAAATGTCATTAATGCGCTAGTGTTTATCTGCGCAGTAAGTAACAAAATAAAAACAAAATGAGAACATTTACAGTATTCTTGTTAATGTGAAAAGTTTTAGGTCGTTAATGATGACATGTTAAAGGGGCTGTCTGCATTAAATTACATTTTGACCTTTTGGCAAGTAAAGGTGTCAAGCCCTTAAGTCTGTTTCCAAATGTTTGAAAGTTTCTTCATTTTATATATTCTTAACCCTTTGGCACTGAATGCCTTCTGGCCCTTTAAGGGTTCTAAAGCCGGTAGGTGGAGGTGGCCTTCAGATTATGTGACCACTGTAGTTGGCTGTCACAGCTGTCATATGATCGGAAAGGTCAGATTACATGTATGTATCGTGAGCTTACCAATCACTGCCAGCTACTGTACAGGGAGTGTGCTCTCAGCATGGTAAATAGTTATGAACAGGGCAGCATATATGCGGCCGTTCGGCATTAAAGCCCATCCACTGAGCCACTGCATGTATGCGTGCAGCCTGCGTCAAGAGGTTAAAATATTTAACATATCATACTTACATGCTCTGTGCAATAGGTTTTGCCCAGAGAAGCCCTGATCCTCTGCTTCTGTGGTCCTTTGCTGGCACTCCTGGCTTCTCTTCTGCATGTGCCACCATACCAAGCCACTTCCTCTAGTGACACATGTGCGGACTTGATCCTGAGCTGTCTGTGTGTATAGACAAACCGCACAGCTTGGCCCCCCCCCTCCCTCATCACAGGATTTGATTGACTGCAGCAGGAGTTAATTGTTCCCACTGCTATCAATCTGCCCTGTGAGGAGGGAGAGAGACATTGCTCTCGGACACAGTGCTGGATCAAGTTCGGGCTCAGGTAAGTGCAAGTGGGGGCTGGTAGAATCCTGTGGCACAGAAAGTGTTTTTTTTTTTACTGTAATGCAAAGAATGTATTAAGGTAATAAAAAAAAACCTAAGAAGAACTTTAAAGAAACACTGTGGTTGATTTACTAAATGCAAATAGGTTGTTCATTTTCTAAGGAAAGTTGCACTTTGCAAGGAATTTTCCCCAGAGTGAATGTAGTGTGTTCTCATCTTGGAAAGAATGCTAATCACTTGCAAGGAACATAAAAAAAAACCCCATTTTTGTTTGTACATGATTGGATGATGGAAGTCAGCAGAGATTCACCTCATTCATTGAGCTCTGGGGAAAATTCCCTTGCATGCTGAAATTTCCTTTGCAAAGTGAACAGCCTATTTGCCTATAGTAAATCAACCCCACTGTCCTCTTGCCCATGAAGAGCAAAAATACAGTGTTTATACAAAGGGCATTCTCAGACCAACATATACTCTCCTATCACTGCTCTTTCCTCCCTTGCTGGTGGCACTGAAATGAGCCATGTTGGCAACTTGGGGGAGATGTGACATCCCTCTCCAGGTCATGTGACTGCTGCTATGCCTGGGCACCATTACAAGCGAACAGGTCACAAGCTCCCCTTACACCCAGAAGTGCTAGGTATTCTTGCCAGCTGCAGTGGAGCAAGCTGCAAAAGAGAAGCTTGTGTGGTGAGCAATAATTAGGCCAAGGGATGTCCTTTTTACAGTGGCAATGTCACTTTGTTTTGAATGGTCAAAGTGAGTGTCTCCGATTGTTTATAAATACAAGAGGCAAACCAAATTTGTTAATTACAAATGCAGGAACAGCACGTTTATAGGTCTACTGACCTACTGGAGATAATGCATTCCCTATGTATCTTGTCCGTTATTAACCACTTGCTGTCCTCCTGCTGTTTATAAACGGCAGGACGGTGGCACTCCAGGGGCCAAAAGTCACCCGCCATTTCTAGCTGTGCGCGCTCCCTGGAAGCGCGCAGCACCGCGATCCAGTGCCCGCTGTGTCCTCTGGACACAGTGAAACACCGATCGTCGGACGGGACCTCTGTTGGCCAATCAGTGATCACATGCAAAGTAGTAACAAGATGTCAAATGATAAACAAAAGCATTTACTACCACTTTAAGAGAGAGAGACTCGACTTTAACCACCTCCCGTCCAGCCATTGTATATAAACGGCCGGACGGTGGCAGTGCAGGGTCGGGTGGCCGTTTATAAACGGCCTCCCCGCACCCTGCTTGTGCGCGCTCCCTGGGAGTGCACAGCACGGCGATTCAGTGCCCGCTGTGTCCTCCTGACACAGTGGAACACCGATCGTCAGACGGGACCTCTGTACAAAGTCCCGATCATGTGATCACTGATTGGCCAATCAGTGATCACATGCAGAGTAGTAAGCAATGATGTCACTTGTGACTACGTGTGAAATCTGTGAATGATCACAGAGGTCACATGGTACAAGGCTATTCACAACAGCCTTGTGCCATGTGACAAGCTGTGACCAATCAGTCAGTAGTTCTCAATGGCTGCAAGAATGCAGACAGAGAGAGAAATGATTGCTTTTACATCCTATATGGGTGTAAAAGAAATAAATGGTGACACTGTACTGCTAGGGTGACAGTATGTAAAAAAAAAAAACAAATAATATAAAAAAAATAAAATAAAAATGTTTAAAAATTATAATTTTTGGTTATAAACTAATTTGGCTTATTTTTTTTTTTTTGCTAAAAAGATAACAGAATACATTTTGGCCAAGATTTATGATGAGAGATTATTTATTTGCAAAATTTTATAAGAAAAACACTTTTTTTCAAAATTTTTGGACATTTTCATTTACATAGCAAAAAAAATAAAAATCCCAGTGCTGAATAAATACCACCAAAATAAAGTTTTATCTGTCTCAAAAAAATGGTAAAAAATTCATATGGGTACAGTGTTGCATGACCGCGCAATTGTCATTCAAAGTGTGATAGCGCTGAAAGCTGAAAATTGGCCTGGACAGGAAGGGGGTAAAAGTGTCTGGACAGGAAGTGGTTAAAACCTTTATTGAGAATTTGTAGACTGCCAATTCTGGACTCTTATTTTGAAAATGCTAGTTGCTTGGCTGATGTTAATCCAAAGACTTCAGTGCTGTCTGTCTTGAATTTTCACATTCTACTGACTTACCTTGATTTTACGGCCTTCTGTGTGATTTATAGTCCTTTTTTTTTTTTTTAATATTAGAATTGAGGTCACCATTAGTTGCTGAATTTGCCAGAGTATTTTATGGACCTAATTGTCAGAAGTTCACGTTTCACCCTTTGCAGTCACTTCTTATTCTGCTGGCACCAATTTATAACCAGGCTCTTGTTTCCTAGGTTACAAGACAGCCATGTTGCCTTACCGCATCAGCCTGGATGGTTTGATTAGTGCTAGTTTTGACCACGAAGTTTTCGAGGCATCCGTGTGCTTTATCTTGACCATATCCTGCTTCTGGTGGCTTTTTAGATATGTATTGCTTTTACACCGACTCCTAACTTGGAATGCATTACTTTTGAACCTCCTCAGTTTTCTGCTGTTGCTACTTTTTCCTACTCTTTTCCTTGCACTGGGTTAATATCCTCCTCCTCCTCAGCTTAATATTTACTGAGTTCTTGTCCTCTGGGGACCAACTGCAATGTTTACACCCAGCTAGGTGTTCTCTTTTTACAGTTTCCCTTGCATGCACAGTAGACCTCCATTCTCTTCGGAATGTTTTTGAACATTTGCTTTCAACTTAAAGTGGTTATAAAGGTTCTTTTTTTTTCCTTTTAAAAAAATATTTATTTTATTATTTATTTCAGGTACTTGTATAGCACTAACAATTTACGCAGCACTATACAAGTACCTGAAATAAATAAAATAAATAATAAAATAGGACACAGTAAAGCATGGCTCACCTCACTGGCTGTGATTGACAGCAGCAGTTGCCATTGGCTCAGCCAATGAGGAGAGAGAGAGAGAGACTCGGGAGAGCCTCAGCTCTGGTGCACAATGCTGGATTGGGATTGAACTCAGGTAAGTATTGGGGGTGAGGGGGTGCAGAGCTGCACACTGAAGGTTTTTTTACCTTCATTCCTAGAATGCAGGAAGGTCAAAAACCTTCAGCCTTTAAAACCACTTCACAGAAGTCTACTAATTTTGAATGGGCTAGCAATGCAAGATAATGCATTAAACAAAGCACCTGCAGTGGTTTGGCCATTATGCGCACCACGGTGCACACTATGCCTGCTCTGATGTGCTGTTATGCAAGTGTGTTGGCAGCTATTGTTCAATTGTCTCAGTGCTGCAATGCATGGGCGTGAAGCCAACTTTTGACAATACTTTACATTTAAAGGAAGCCTGTCATGAAAGAACTATGGGGTGGCCATTGTTGATCTTTCTCAAAATGCTAGTTGCCTGTCTAGTTTGCGTACTTTGAGTCATCAAACAGAAATAAATAAGCAGGTAAAGTCCTTATATAATAACAATTAATGTATTACACTCAGAACATTTTTTCTTTAAGTGAAACCTGATTTCCTCTTTAGCTTATGTTCTTTTGAGTCATGCTTCATTTTTTTATACCTTATTTACATTATAGTTTTCTTGTACTAAGATGCAGAATTCTATAGTTGGCTACAACAGAGATGTGAACTGTCCTCTCAAACAGCCTTCTAACACCAAAGCCATGCATGCGTCAGCCTCTGCGTTCACAGCATTGATGGTTTAGATCGTGATTGTTTCAATGTACTTGCCCTATGTACATGCCATATTAACCAGCCGGCCTGTTATTTGCCTATTAAAGCTTTTGTTTGTGTTTAATAGAACAAACAGGAGCTTGTGCAAGGTTAATTTTTATATTATCAGTTCGCATTAAAAGCATTCTACTGTTTTCATGGTGACGATTTGTTCCCTTCCCCTAGAGTGAATAGAGAAACCGTACATTGAGTGAGAATCCTGCCCTTTTCATTATGCCACCGGTTGCCATGGAAACACTGTCCTTGTTATAAATTACATTCCTGTGTCCTGCCTCACAAGTGACATGATTTGTGCATATTTTATGAAGCCTTGTTAGGAGAATAGCGCTTATGATAAAACATTCCACCACAAGGTGGTTTAACTTCATCAGTATATGAGCAAGGCACCTTAACTCCTCTGTTACCAGAGAGCTTGCATTTCTATGCTGGACAAGATTGCTGAAAGTGGAATTGTACCTTACAGCATGTTTTGTGTCAAATGTGGCGAAATTGCCATGTCTTCCTTGTTTGCTGAGGGACACTGAAATTTAGAAACTGTTGGGTTTATAATGCTGCCTAGTGGCCACTCTGGTATTACCCCTCCTATACTCCTAGCATGTCTCTGCCTTTCGTTAGTGTCCTAGAAGGATGGACATCTTTTTTTGCTGAGAAAAGTCTTAACTCTTTGCTAGTTTTTCTTTTTCATTCAAGATTTTTTTCTTAAGTCAAGATTTCTCTACAAGCTGGTCTGTGTATGCATATATCCAGATCTACTGCTCCTTAACATTAACTTCGGAGGCCATGTTCAGACTGCCTCTGTTGGTCTGCACGGTTGTGATGCTACCCTGGAAAATGACCTTTGGGCTCTGCATCGTGGTGTTTTCCCGACCTGAGTGTACTGTGTTAGCCACTGAGCATTTTCCAGGTTCACATACATGGCACAGCCCCAAGTTTGACTCTTGACTCTGTAGACTTACTTTGTGAGTAAGCCGTGTTGGCCAAGTACCAGAAGCTCCCTAGTTGCTAGGGCTGTTGGGCATCATTTAAAATTGACAAAGTCTGTTTTCTGCAGAAGGAGTTGACACTGAGTGGCTGACAACCTCTGTTTGGTGAAGTGTTGTGCGTGCCACCCTTTTTTTTTTCCCCACCATTCAGCATGGAGGAAGCAACCTCAGTAGGAGATCTAAATTCATAGTTTGGATGCAGTTTGTGTTGTGCTTTGTTTTAAATAGCTTTCATTGAAAGACTGACCATCTTTGTCAACCCTGATAGTCCCATAAAGAAGGACTAGCTCTTCATTCCACCATTTCTCCATAGTTCAGGCAGATCATCCTTAAAGCTTATGGTCTTAAAATTTGGGTACCATTATTTCCTGTCACAGTGCACTCTACTAGATCTTTGAGTGCTTCCTGCACTTTTTGGCTTCGGGATACTGTTTCCCAGATTTGCAAGGATGCAACCTGGTCTTCTGATGACACATTCTTTGAGTTTTACCAGGAAGGATGTTCAGGCCTTATATGATGCCAGGTTCAGGTATAAGGTTCTTCAGGCAGCTCTTTGAGCTGTAGGCAGTCCCTAGTTCTCTTATTTTCGTACGGGCCTTTTAGTGATTTGTTGTGGTCGCCTACCCCTCAGATTGCTTTTATAGATGTCTCTAAACTTCTGTGTCCCTCAGTGAACAAGAAAGAAAATGAAAAGAAAAGATTTTTGTAATTCCCTAAAAATCCATTTCTTTGAGTTCTTTGATGGACAGCGGCCCCAAGCATTCTGTGAGCATGCTCTTGGTACTGTCTTTCCACCCAACTGAGGCATGCGGTGCTGTGACAGACACCTGTCTCTGTCTACAGGATATATTTCACTGGTACCAGGGGATAGATTGTTTGTGTTCACCAGCACTTTTCTGAACGTCTTCCTGTGGACATTATGAATTGTTGATTTTTAAAAAATATTTTTTCATGTCATACTATGTTCGTTTGTTGTTGTTCACTATTATTCCATTTTGTGCACTAATTTAGTATGTTTAAATATGGTGTGCTAATGTTAACCTGTTGGATTGTAAATACTTTGATGCTTATGTATTTTGGAGAAGTTAGAAAGTCTTGTTTTATATTCACTAAGCATCACCTATTTTATTTATATATAGTGTAGTTATCATGTATCAGGATAGAGGGACAGCAGCTCTGTTTCGAGTTATGTGACCTAAACTACTTTACCATTTAGAAAGAAGGAGGGGCTATACCTGGCTATTATTATACAGGATTTATATAGCGCCAACAGTTTGCTCAGCGCTTTACAATATAACGGGAGACAATACAGCAACAATACAGTTCAATACAAGAGGGAAAGGAGAGCCCTGTTCCTTGGAGCTTACAATCTAGGAGACACTGTTCTGATGTTTGCCAGTGTCCAAATCTTCCTGTAGGTGGCAGTATAAACACAATAGTCTCTGAATTCTGATGCCCCTCAATGAGCTAAAAAAATGGATTTTTATGGTAAGTACAAAAATATTGTTACTTGTAGAACGTTGGTTGTTAAAATGTATTTAAAGTCAAAGCATTTGGACTGAAAGTGAGAGATGTCACTAGAACAGGCAAAGGGGTGAAATTTTGCAATGGGTAACACCTGTATAAAATTAGATTTTCCTTGTTTGGAAGATTCCTTCCTTTTTCCTGTTGTGTCTGCGATACAGGAAGCAAAAGAATCTCTTGAATGGGACACAGATGACAAAAATAATTGGTTTAAACTCTTCTCTAATATATTCAAATTTTGGGTTTAGTTACAGTTAAAAAAAAAACAAAAAACAATAGTAGCTGTTTTTAATCTAGAGACAGGTGGTAGCTGTTTGCTTTCAGACCCTCCTCTATCTCTAATAGAAAACCTGTATGTAGCCTTGCTTGGGAAATGCATTACTCTTCTGGGTTGCATAGTTATGTGTAGGTCATCTGAACTTGGGCTATTGAGATATTTAAAGTGTCTTTCAGCAGAGCAGTTAAGATTAAGCTGGTAAACCTGCATAATCTTTAGCTGCCTTGTAGATGTCTCCGCTTCTGGTGTGTTGCTATACCTGTTAAAAAGAAAATGGTTCAACCTGCTCTCTTTTTGGCTGTGCTATATACTGTACATCAGTAGTTGGGACCTCAGACAGATTGTTTAGAGTCATGGACCACATTTATAAGTGTCTTGTGGCAGTGTGGATTCCAGATGCATTTGCAATTATATGTTTAATAAAATATGTTCAAAATACCCTTTAAAGAGAACCTCTTAGGGGGACTACCCAGCTCTTGAAAACAATGTTAGTTTAGGGGACATACCTTTGCAGTCTCATCTGTATTAGGTATACTACTTTTTCTTACAGTACCAAGAGAGAAATAATAATTGTTAGTATATTTCAGTTTGATTCCTTTTTAAAAATGCAAATATATCTCCCAAATACAGTATTAAGATGTTTGTTTCCTACTTTCCCACTGATTCAGTGAATGGTTCCTATCTATTTGATCAGATCTTCGAAGCAATGGAAAATATCCTTTAAAAAAAACTCTTTAGTGTATAATTTACTAATCAAGTATAGTTGTTAGGGATGAAATATTACACAACACCCCTTTCAACCCAGTTAAACAAAGATATTTTCCACAGTATTTAGTACTTTCACCAAGGTTGTAATTAGTGTGGCTTAAATCTTTCACAGAGATGTAATATTTTTTCATAGGCAAAATGTTGTATTACTGTTAACTTATTTGTCCCTGAGTAGGCAGACACTGTGGTAAGAGTGGTTTCTTTTTACACTTAATATATTTTCCGCCTTTGGTGATTCAGTTATACGGAGTAAGGTTACCCTCTAATGGGCACTGCCAATGTGCACCACCGGGTACACTGGGAATTGTGGCCTCATTTATAGACTTGCTGGTGTCATTATGCCTGCTGTTTTTTCTTCAGCAGGTTGCTGCTATCTTGCTGTGCTGATCATATTATGCTGCCTCTTGATTTTATACGGAAAGATGATCGAAGGAATGTTCTTTAATTGACCCTTAGCAAAAGGTGTTGAGAAAAAGTGCTGAGAAGACAGACTGGACACCATTACAGTTTGCCATGCTGAAAAATGACATTGGCTAACAGTTATATGCAACAAGCTCAGTACGAGAGCATTTTTTTTTCCTCTCTGTAATGCAGATTGCTATATTTTAAATATTTTTTTCTTCAAAACATGCTTCTGTGTAATTTTGACAAACTTGGTTTTTCGTAAGCTGTAATTTTCTCATGTTCCCTTTGTCTAGCTCAATTTGAATTGCTAAAAACTGGTATGGTGGCTTAAACTGGCCATCATCATAGAGGAAGCCATCATCATTTATTGTAGGGAGCACATACCAGGCAAGATTTCCTTCAACTCAGAGTAGAAATGGCAGTAAAGTCTGTTCTCTTTTTTTTTTGCTCAGGTTGGAAGAGTTTATCCTCAAGCTGTCTATTTTCCCATCCGGACTCTTTATTTAACACTGAAGATCGAGCAGAGGGAGCGTTACAAGAGTGGTGAGTCTCACGCTTAAGAGAATCAAATCTCTTGATTTTTACACATTTATTGCACCAGGGAAGGAAGTAATTTCATGGTTCCTTTTTGTGTGCTGACACAGCGTAAGGGAGAAAAGACTTGAAAATAAATATGGCTTGCCACTAACTAAACATTTTTCTTCTGCAGTTTATGAGCAGGTTTGATATAAAATGGTCACAGAGTCTACCTCGCATTAGAAAACAATTTAATGCTGGCTTGTACTTCTCTGCACATTGAGAAACATGAATCCAGTGTTGCTCCCCATACTGTACTTTTAAGTGTCCTCGGCTCTCTCTCTCTATGTATGTGTATGTGTGTATATATATATATATATATATGTGTGTATGTATGTATATGTATGTATGTATATATATATATATATATATATATATATATATACACACACAGTTGTGTTCAAAATAATAGCAGTCATTTCTTTGGTTAAAAAATAACCCAACACATTGTAAATTACTTAGTCTGTGTGAAAGTTAGAGTCTAAAAACTATGGTGTGTGTGTGTGTATATATAGTTGTGTTCTAAATAATAGCAGTCAGACATCACTAACCTGATCAATCACTGTTTTTGGTAGAAAATGATATTTCTTCATGGCAAATAATTTACTAGCAGGTGTAGTAGAGTAATAGAAATCCAACAGACCCAACAGTCATGACATGCATGCTGCTGATTCTGTGTAATTGAATCACTAATTGAAAGGGGCATGTTCAAAATAATATCAGTGTGGAGTTCTATTAGTGAGGTCATTCATTCTTTGAAAAACAGGTGGCAATTATTGCCCTTATTTAAGGAAGGAAGGCAGCAAATGTTGTACATGCTGGTTACAGTGCATTTCTCTCTGAAATTCTGAGTAAAATGGGTAGTTCCATACATTGTTCAGAAGAACAGCGTACCTTGATTAAAAAGTTGATTGGAGAGGGGAAAACATATAAAGAAGTGCAGAAAATGATAGGCTGCTCAGCTAAAATGATTGCAAATGCTTTAAAATGGCAACCAAAACCTGAAAGACGTGAAAGAAAGCGAAAAACTACCATTTGAATGGATAGAAGAATAGCCAAAATGGCAAGGACTCAGCCAACAATCAGCTCCAGGAAGATCAAAGAAGGTCTAAAGTTACCTGTGAGTAGTGTTACAATTAGAAGACGCCTATGTGAAGCCAAGCTATCTGCAAGAAGCCCCCGCAAAGTCCCACTGTTGAAAAAAAAGACGTGCTGAAGAGGTTACAATTTGCCAAAGAGCACATTGACTGGCCTAAAGATAAATTTTGTGGACTGATGAAAGTAAGATTGTTCTTTTTGGGTCTAGTGGCCGGAGACAGTTTGTCAGACGACCCCCAAACACTGAATTCAAGCCACAGTACACTGTGAAGACAGTGAAGCATGGTTGCGCAAGCATCATGATATGGGGATGTTTCTCATACTACAGTGTTGGGCCTATTTATCACATACCAGGGATTATGGATCAGTTTGAATACATCAGAATACTTGAAGAGGTCATGCTGCCTTATGCTGAAGAGGAAATGCCCTTGAAATGGGTGTTCTAACAAGACAACGACCCCAAACACACCAGTAAACGTGCAACATCTTGGTTCCAGACCAACAAGATTGACGTTGTGGAGTGGCCAGCCCAATCCGCGGATCTTAATCCAATAGAAAACTTGTGGGGTGACATCAAAAATGCAGTTTCTGAGGCAAAACCAAGAAAAGAGAAGAACTGTGGAATGTAGTCTAATCATCTTGGGCTGGAATACCTGTTCACAGGTGCCAGAAGTTGGCTGACTCCATGCAACACAGATGTGCAGCAGTTCTCAGAAACAGTGCTTATACAACAAAATATTAAGTGATTAAATAGAAAGCAAAATCTTCAAACATTTTTCAGTTTATATAGTGAATGTTTTAGTTTGTAAAGAAGAATACAAACACTGCTATTTTTTTGAACAGTCTAATATTCACTTTTCTTCAATTTTGTTAGAGGAACAACACAAATTTGATATATTTTTCTTCGTGTTTTGATTTGGAATAGAATGTGTAGTGTTCCCAATGGATTTGTGTGTATGGAATTAAAAGCTATTAGAAGGATTTTGAGCTTTATTCACTTTTTTCAATACACGGCTATTATTTTGAACACAACTGTATATATAAAAAACACATGCAATGATTTGCAAATCTCATAAACCCATATGTTGTTCACAATATAAAATGTATCAAATGTGTAAACTGAGAAAATATAACACTTTAAGAAAAAAATAAGGCTGTTTTGATGTTGATAGCAACACATCTCAAAAAAATTTGGGACAGGGCAACATAAAGCTGGCAAAGTACTGTAAGTGGTGCTAACAAGGAAGAGCTGAAATAACACTTTGGAACTAATTAGGTTGATTGGCAACAGGTCACTAACATAACTGTAAAATAAGAGCACCTTTTTAGAGTCAGAGGTTCTAAAAATTGTCAAACAATTTCAAAATAATATTCCTCAAGGTAAAATTGCAAAGACTTTAAATATATCATCATCTAAAGTGCATAATATCTTCAAAAGATTCTAAGAATCTGGAGAAATTACTGTGCACAAGGGAATCGGCAGCTTGCACATCTGGAAAGGCACCACCAATGTTTAAAGATATATCCTGGTTTTTGAGCATCATATGATGCCAGAGAATGCTTTTTTCATGGAAGGCCTTGCATATTTCAGACACACAATGCTAAACTGCATACTGCATCTATGACAACAGCAAGGCTTCTTAGTAAAAGAGTCCAGGTGCTTAACTGGCCTGCCTGCACTCCAGACCTTTCAACAATTGAAAATATCTGGCACATCTTGTGACAAAAAATATGACCAAGAATACCCAGGAATGCTGAACAGTCTTATATCAGGCAAGAGTTGGGACAGTATTCCTCTCCCAAAACTCCAGTAACCGGTCTCTTCAGTTCCCAGAGGTTTCCAGAGTGTTATGAAAAGAAAATGGGATGATACACTGTGGCATGGCCCTGCCTCAACTTTTTTGAGTTGTGTTGCTGCCATCAATTTCAGAATTACCCTATTTTTTTCTTAAAATGGTAAATTTTTTTTCAGTGTACACATTTGATGTTTTCTATTTTCTAATGTGAATAAAAATATGGGTTTATGAGATTTGTAAATCCCCGCATTCTGTTTGTATGAAGATTTTACACAGCGTCCCAACGTTTTTGGGATTGTGTGTGTGTGTGTGTGTGTGTGTGTGTGTGTGTGTGTGTGTGTGTGTATATATATATATATATATATATATATATATATATATATATATATATATATAAATATATATATTTATTTTTTTTTTAATACACGAGATTAGGATGTCAGCCATTTGTCAAGGCATGAATGAGATACACTTCTCTTTAAAGGCCACTAGATATTCCAACAGAGCAATGGAAAATTAAGTCCTAAGGGGACTAAATTGATGTATCTGTAATTTTCATTATTTCATGCTCCAACAGAGATATTTGGCAACTGCCTAAAATCTGAATCCATCCAATTGACAATGTGTTGAAAATGTTGCTGTACGTGTCCAAGACTGACATGTTGTTCCATAAGCCTCTTTCTGCATGTGTTGTAAAAATGATCAGTTATGAGTGGGCACCTGGAATAATCTGGGTCTCCATTTTCACAATTTTATGATAGTGAAGCTTTGCAAGGAGATAACAATTTGCCACATTATATATTATAATACTACTGTTCTCTCTCTGAAGTGATAGTTCTTAACGTTTTGTGCAATCCCTTACAGAATCCTTCTGGCTGATGTAATTTTGTTAAAAATTAAGGATTTAAAAAGCGTGATACCCTTAAATGTTTTAAGTACACTTGCAACAAAAAATGGAAAGAGGCATGTAGCTGATGTGATAATATCACTAATAATGGTTTGATTGTGTCATTGCCTTACAGACTCTGGACAGCACCAGCCGAGTTCAGTCGGCACTCAGTCACATTCTGCTTCTGACCCAGGACCAATCAGAGCCACAGCACCCATGTGGAGGTGCAGCAGAATCATGCACATGCAACGGGAGCTGCACCCCACTCTGTTGTCATCGCTGGAGGGCATCGTAGACCAGATGGTTTGGTTCAGAGAAAACTGGCATGAAGAGGCAAGTGCAGCGTGGAAGTGTAGGTTCACCTAGATAGAGGGTCATGCATCAAACACAGTTTTTCAGGAAATGTACCCTAAAGCAAAACACCTTTAAAGGTGTCTGGCACTCTGAGTGCCAATTATAATATTTTCAGAGCAGCGAACCTCCACCTGAACTTTTCATGAGTGATGTTCATGTCCTAGGTGATCTGCTTTATGACAGATTCCTTTCAAGAACTTATTTATAACTAGCAAACTAGCAGCATGCAAACTGCCTATCTGTATTCAATCACAAACTGGCAACAAGCTAATGGTTGATTATGAGATGTCCTTAGAAGGGCCTAACTGTTAACAAATTTAGAGCCCAGCTCCCAGAAACTTGAAAATTCTTCCTTACAGTAGGGCTGCATTGGACTCTTCCCCCTTTAGGTCTAGAGGGCATGTTAAAGTAGGTTTACTTACAAGATCCTCCACTCCTCTGCACTGCTAGATCGGTTTCCACAGCATTTTCTCCCCATCCCCCAGTATTCTAAAGTCCTGACAACATCAAGATTGATGCAGAGTCCATAGCCATGCACTGGACACGGGGACGCTGAGGGACAGTCAGAATTGCCAGACTTGGGCTTTAAAGGATCCTACCGAACATCTGTTTTTAAGAATTTGAATGTTCTAATTTTTGTGTGTGTGGTTTGTTTTTTTCGTCCAAATCTCTCAGTAATGGACATTCAATGTAAATAAACACAACCTGAGTCACCATTCACAATACAGGCACCAATCGTGGTAGAACCGCACTGCTTTTAGGTGCTATTGAAAATGAGTGGCACCTGAACAAGTGTGGTGCGGTTTTGCAGAGCGTTTTGGGATTGCAGGCAGAATCGCAGCTATTCTGCCCTCAATACAAAGAGCCTAGGTAACATCTTGTTAGAGCCAATGATCTCACTGCACCTAGGAGGCCAATAAGTGTGTGTGGGGTTTTCAAACACTGGGTACACTTGATGAATGCTGGAATGTCAGACAACCCCAAGTTGCATAGAAAAATATTTTCCAGTTTTTGGTGGAAGCCATTCATACTAATTTTTCAATACAGGTAGGTTTGTAGGAAAAAAAGTGCTTTGCCAATTGAGATTTTTATTATAAGTTGGATGTGAATATTCTAGCAAGCACATATCAGTGTAAGGAGTAGTACAGAACTTGTATTGGTTGCTTAGACTATGCTCATTAAATACAGTGCCTTAAAAAAGTATTCATACCCCTTGAAATTTTCCACATTTTGTCATGTTAAAACCAAAAACAGGAATGTATTTTATTGGGCTGTTATGTGATAAACCAGTGGTCTCCATACTTTCTAAGCAAAGATCCAGTCTACAATTCTTCAGACTTTAGGGGGGGTCGGACTGTGACCAGTGGCAGTAGAAGATGCTCCAACATCAGTGGGCATAAACAATGCTCTATTATTGGTTTGAGAGAGAGAAATCGGTCCTGATCATTGGTTTGAATGGAAGGAATAGTGCCACATTGTCGCTATCAATGGAAAGAATAGTGCCCCATCAGTGTTGTCAGTTTGTAGAATAGTGCTTCAAGGGCCAGATAAATGCAAGCCAAGGGCCACATCTGGCACCCGGGCCGCAAATTGGAGACCACTGTGACAGACCAACACAAAGTGGTACATAATTGTGAAGTGGAAGGAAACTGATAAATGGTTTTCAAAAATTTTTACAATTATATGAAAAGTACGGCGTGCATTTGTATTCAGCCCCCTTTACTCTGATACCCCTAACTAAAATCTAGAGGAACTATAATTGCCTTCAGAAGTCGCCTAATTAGTAGAGTCCACCTGTGTGTAATGTAATCACAGTATAAATACAGCTGTTCTGTGAAGCCCTCAGAGGTTTGTTAGAGAACATTAGCAAACAAACAGAATCATGACTGCCAAGGAACACACCAGACAGGTCAGCAATAACGTTGTGGAGAAGTTTAAAGCAGGGTTAGGTTGTAAAAAAAAAAATATTCCAAGCTTTGAACATCTCACTGAGTACTATTCAATCCATCATCCGAAAACGGAAAGAGTTTGACACAACAGCAAACCTAAGACATGGCTGTCCACCTAATCTGACAGGCCGGGCAAGGAGAGCATTAATCAGAGAAGTAGCCAACAGGCCCATGGTAACTCTAGAGGAGCTATAGAGATCCACAGCTCAGGTGGGAGAATCGGTCTACAGGACAACTATTAGTCATGCACTCCACAAATCTGGCCTTAATGGAAGAGTGGCAAGAAGAAAGCCATTGTTATTATTATTTTACAGGATTTATATAGCGCCAACAGTTTGAGCAGCGCTTTACAAAATGAAGGTAGACATAACAGTTACAATACAATATGGTACAAGAGGGAACAGAGGGCCCTGTTCGTTAGAGCTTACAATCTAGGTAGGAAGGGTTGAATGATACAAAAGGTAATAGCTGTGGGGGGATGAGCTGATGGAGGAAATAAAAGCCAGTTTACTAGTTAGAAGCAGGATAGGCTTCTTTAAAGAGAATGGTTTTCAGGGATCGTCTAAAGGTGGATAGATTAAGAGATAGTAGCACAGATTGGGGTAGGGAGTTCCATAGGATAGGGGAAAAGCTTGAGAAAGGTCCTGGAGGCGGGCATGGGAGGAGGTGACATGGGAACTAGAGAGCATTGTTAAAAGAAAGCCATAGGAAGTCCCATTTGCAGTTTTCAAGAAGCCATGTGGGGGACACAGCAAACGTGGAAGAAGGTGCTCTGGTCAGATGAGACCAAAATTTAACTTTTTGGCTTAAAAGCAAAATGCTATGTGTTGCAGAAAACTAACACTGCACATCATCCTGAACACACCATCCCCACCGTGAAACATGGTGGTGGCAGAATCATGATGTAGGGAAGCTTTTCTTCAGCAGGGACAGGGAAGCTGATCATAGTTAATGGGAAGATGGATGGAGCCAAATACAGGGCAATCTTTGAAGAAAACCTGTTACAGTCTGCAAAAGACTGTGGCGGAAGTTCACCTTCCTGCAGGAAACGACCCTAAACATACATGCAGAACTACAATGGAATGGTTTAAATCAAAGCATATTCATGTGTTAGAATGGCCCAGTCAAAGTCCAGACCTAAATCCAATTGAGAATCTGTGGCAAGACTTGAAAATTGCTGTTAACAGATGCTCTCCATCCAATCTGACAGTTCTATTATTTTGCAAAGAAGAATGGGCAAAAATGTCCCTCTCTAGATGTGCAAAGCTGGTAGAGACATACCCAAAAAGACTTGCAGCTGTAATTGCAGCGAAAGGTGGTTCTACAAAGTATTGATTCAGGGGGGCTGAATACAAATGCACGCCACGCTTTTCAGATATTTATTTGTAAAAAATGTTGAGAAACCAGTTATCCTTTTCCTTACACTTTACAATTTTGTACCACTTTGTGTTGGTCTATCACATAAAACCCCAATAAAATACATTTATGTTTTTGTTTGTAACATGACAAAATGTGGAAAATTTCAAGGGGTATGAATACTATTTCAAGGCACTGTAGGTACCAGCTTCTGTCCTGTTTAAATTTGTACCCTAGATGGCATAGATCCATTGAACTGTCAGAGTTAATATTTTGGCTGCATAATTAGATTATATATTTGTTTTGTGAACTTGCCATTTATGACATATATGAGATTATATTTAATGTCCTTCTAACATTGTGACTATTGCAGGTCCTGCGTCAACTGCAACAGGGACTTGCCAAGTGTTACTCTGTGGCCTTTGAGAAAAGCGGGGCAGTTTCTGATGCTAAAATCACCCCTCATACCCTGAACTTTGTGAAAAAGTTGGTGAGCACATTCGGAGTGGGGCTGGAGAACGTCTCCAATGTGTCCACCATGTTTTCTAGTGCTGCCTCTGAGTCATTGGCCAGGAGGGCCCAAGCTACAGCACAAGACCCAGTCTTCCAGAAGCTAAAGAGCCAGTTCACCACAGGTACTGTCTTTACATTTGTTCTGCTGTCCCACTATATTTAACTGTCTTCTGCTCTCTTTTCCTTTTCTTTTTTTTCTTTTAATACTTCAGATAATAAATGTGATAGATGCTGGCAGCGCCACCTAATTTAAATCTGAGCCTTTCCCATTCAGAGCAAATCCGCAGCAGGATTTTTTTTTTTGTACTAGTAATAGCGATTAGCATTAGCAACTTATAGCGGGACTATGGCGGGCAATTCTGACACTGGGTGGGAACTGACTAACTGCCACTGATATCCCCAGTGCCACTAATACAGGGACCAGTGCTAATAAAAAGCACTTACACTTCTAATGACACTGGGCAGGAAGGGGGTCAACATCTGTGGCGATGAAAAGCTTAACAGTGTGCTGTATGTGTTTTACTTTGGAGACATGCTGTTTTGTATCTCTGCTGTGCAGAGACACAAAGCAGCATGTCCATGCTAACAGGAGAGAGACCTGTGTTTACACACAGGTCTCTCCACTGTCAGCTTTGCTGACGATCACTGTGTGCTGGCCAGGACCCAGTGATTGCCATCCCCAGCTGCCAATAGCTGCACAGGTAAGGCGGCCCAGTCCCACTGCAAGGGAAAACTTTTTTTTTTTTTTTTTCCCCACTTGGAGTTGGGCTTTAAAGTGAACCTCAAATAGGGAAAAGAACAGTGAGCGCTAGTCTTGAAAGCGGCTAAGCACTCTAAGCAACCGATATATACTTAAAATAGAATAACATAAAAATAGTGCAGCGCTATTAGTAGTGATAGTAAAACAGATATGAGTCCACTTAAAGTCTTGGTCATAGGAACGTGTCCAGTGACAAGTAAGGATTCAAAGTTGGTGATCCGTGTGGAAAACGGCTGAAAAACGCACTCACCAGAAACAACCAGCAGGAAGTGTTTTGGAGAAGCGTCTCTTCTTCCGGGACATGCTGTAGCTCTGTGTTAGTATAGCCATGGATCTGTGGTCTCATATGTGGTGCAGATAGACTAACCCTGATCTATGGAATCCTACACCTAACTGGGAAGAGGAGGATCTGTTGCTGCATCCATAGAGGAGGGATCCATTTTTCCTGTAACCGGACCAGCTTTATTCCCTTCTGGATTGAGGATCCATGAGCTCTAGATGCACACTGCGTTTATGTCTCTTGTTTCTGGTGAGTGCGTTTTTCACCCGTTTTCCACACGGATCACCATCTTTGAATCCTTACTTGTCACTGGACACGTTCCTATGACCAAGACTTTAAGTGGACTCATATCTGTTTTACTATCACTACTAATAGCGCTGCACTATTTTTATGTTATTTTAAAGTGAACCTGTTGTGTTACTCTGCATGGGAAAAGCAGAGGCTCATTTAAGTCCTTGAAATTAAATTATCAAAATGAACATTGCATTAATGAACTTTGCTAAACACTGTTTTTTCATCTAATGTGGCCAATACCGCAGTTTCAGGAATATTACAGTTTTCGGAGTGTGAAAAGACACTTACTGTTTGTGTCCCATAACTCCAACCATCATTCACATGCTGACATGTTTAGCCAAGCCCCCTCAGTATGTCAACAGTGGCAGCCGGTAGATATATTTTTGTTTAGACCCAAGTTCTGTGACGTGTGTGCCCCTCTATCTTGGTATATGGATCAATGTAAAGGGAACACACTGTTCTGTTGCACCAGCCTGCATTAGGCAGTGCCCATATAAACAGCAGACATTTTGCTAGACCAGCGTTTTTCAACCACTGTGCCGCGGCACACTAGTGTGCCGTGAGATATTGTCTGGTGTGCCGTGGGAAAAATTGCAATTTCATCCGTAACATGTGGCCTCAGCTCACAAATAGACCAATCATTAGAACAGCAATGGGCAAACTATGGCCCGCGGGCCGTATACGGCCCGGCGGACCTTTTAATCCGGCCCGCGGAGCGTGATACTGTCAGGATGATCTGTCCCCCTCGACGTATCTGCGCATGTGCCGGAGATCGCCGATCGGCTGCTAATGCCTGAAACTGGCACATGCGCAGATACGTCGAGGGGGACAGATCCTCATAGGAGACAGATTTTCATACTACACCGGAACGGCGAGAGGAACGCGCGGAGCAAAGGTAAGTGAATTGACACAGGGGGGGCTTGGGGACTTAATATGGGGGATGAATTACTATATGGGGGATGAATTACTATGGGGGATGAATTACTATATGGGGGATGAATTACTATATGGGGGATGAATTATTATATGGGGGATGAATTACTATATGGGGGATGAATTACTATATGGGGGATAAATTACTATATGGGGGATGAATTACTATATGGGGGATTAATTAATATGGGGGATGAATTACTATATGGGGGATGAATTACTATGGGGGATGAATTACTATGGGGGGATGAATTACTATATGGGGGATTAATTACTATGGGGGAATATTACTATACTTACTATGGATGACACATACACATCATTCATCTACTCTTGGTCCGGCCCCCGGGTCCAATATATGAACCCATTGCGGCCCTCAAGTCAAAAAGTTTTTCAATAAATTTTTTTTAACATTTTCTAATGGTGGTGTGCCTCGTGATTTTTTTCATGAAAAAAGTGTGCCTTTGCACAAAAAAGGTTGAAAAACACTGTGCTAGACAACTCCAATTTCTGCAGACCTTCATAGCAAATGTGCCTAAGTTGAATGGAATCAAAATGAGACTTTGACACTCCAGGGGCACAGTGAAGCAAATTGGTCTTGTCTATAGCAACCAGTCATTTTCTCCCAGGCATTCTCTTACATGTGTTCCAGTGCCCCACGGCTTGAGAAGGGGTCTTTGTAATAGTTTGGGCTTTTGTGGCCCTTAGTGTATCTTTTCTTTTGATAAATACATCTGCAAGTGTGTTTTATATCAAACTATGTCGCATAGTCAAGGTCAGCACCTCCTCTTAGTATATCTAGTAGTGCGCCAGTCTCTTCTGCTTTGTTGTGACTGTAATTGGGAAATTGGCTGATGGGACTCACATGAAAGTATCTTCCAGCTTTAAATATGACCTATATTTCTCACACCCAATAAGCTCTCTGTGATGCAGTCTGTGTGGCACTGCAGTTGCATGACAGTAGATAATGGAAGACGTGAACCATGTGATTAAATTTAATGGATGAAGGCCAGCAGGCTAAAAGGCAGCAGTGGATTCTTTCAGTCCCGGTGATTGTTTGCACACTATCAGAAATTCAATTGCAGTTAATGCTCTGATATTTTTTTTGTCTTCTTTCTGTTTAATGGCTTTACTTTGCTTAAGGAAAATTCTTTCACAATAGAGAATGACTGGGAGGAAGACTCACTTTATTAACCTTAGAAGATCTTTTTATGTAGTTAAAATCTTTTCTTGGCTCTAGGATGAAAAAGAAAGCTCTGTTTTGACTAGTGGACAAATGGGGGCATATCACATATGAAAGGGGCTGTCATTTCCCAGAAAAACATATTTATTTCTATATTTGTCTATAGCACTGAAAATTTACACATCATTTTACAATTCACATCAGGGTCTGCCCTCGAGCTTACAATCTAAGGTCCCTAACTCACATTCATACATACACATACAAGGATCAATTTAGACAGGAGCCAAGTAAGATACCAGCATGTCTTTGATCTGATGATTTTTCGTTGATGCGAAATAAGGCTTTTCAGTAATCAAATTATCTTTTCAGTGTAGCAGTTACAGCAACTCGCTGTTGTCTTCTAGATATTTGGCAAATCTTTTTCACAAGGGACTCTCATTCTTACAGCTGTCTTAGCAGGTTTTTAATATCTTAAACTGAAACTCCTACTAAACCTTTTAAAGTTTTGGATAGAGTAGGGAAGACTTATAAAGTGTCATTTTTATTGCTGTCTGTGACCCTGCTGGGGAGGTTTTTACTCACTATCTACCCTGAAGATACAATAGGGGGTGATCTGGTATCTCCCCTGAGTTAAATAGGGGTCCCACATTTGACAGTTGGCACTGGTAAAAGTGTCCCCATTGGGAAAATATCACTCTATTACTGTTTTACTGAAAGCTATAAAATGTTAATTTCCCCTTCTGTTTTAGTAACAGCGGGCACTAGGCCAAAATATGGGAGTAAATCTCCCCAACAGTGACATAGATGGTAATTTGAAAAATTTCCCGTCTACCCAAAACTGCTGCCAAAGAATCTTCTACATTCACAAAACATCTGTGTGTGTTGGATGCCCAACTTGGTCCCCAGTTAGAATAATTAGAATACCTGCCCCTGCATCACTAGTGTGGTGATATAGTGGTCAGTGGGAGTAATCTGGCATCTGACACTCCAGATAGTGTAAGATACAAGATATTCTTCAGTGATTCTTACCTCGGCAATAGAGTGAAGATCTGTGGTATAGACTGCTGAACAGATAAGTATTCACATGATTATCACCTGAGACCAGTCACTTGGCTGGGTATATGTAAAGGTTTATAAACAGAGATGAAATAACACTTGGGTGATTGGAGAGGAATGCCTGATGTCCAAAAAAAAGGTCTCACTTGATTAATTTTATAGGAGTTTATTTAAGATAAACGTAAACAAGAAGAGCCAACGCGTTCTTTTAGGGCTAGTATATAGAAAGAAGGATACATGGTAAAAACTCATAGCCAGTCCATAGGATTTGTGCAAAGCAAAAATCTGTGGTGTTAAATATAGTTTCAATATAAAGTGAAATCCTCATTTAGTCTCTAAAATCATATTACAAATGGTATATAACATGAAAACCTACCCACACATTGAATTTTAAATGATACAAGACAAAAACTATAAAAAAAAGCAAAAAAACCCCCAAAAACTATATCTTCATGTAAAGAACAAATGAGGAGTCATCAGTAATAAAAAATGTAAAGCAATATATGTGTATACTAAATATTAAGACCTATCCAAACAAGTTAAACATTACAATAAATAATGTAAGTAATGTACATTAATAAATCATTTGCGATATACAGTATGAATATAACGAATTATAAAAAATATTCAAACATTTTCCATATTATCAAATTATATAGACATGAAAACATACCTAATAAAACGATAAGAGAAATCTATCAATGTAGTTACTCATCCTTTTTGTTGTGGTAGCCCCTAAGTAAAAGTGGTCAGTACTTATGTCTATAAAAGAGAGATTGTGTGATCAGGGCTAGGAGACTGACCTATAATTCTTGGAGAATGGTTAGACTCTGAGAGGGTTAAAAATATTCTGTAGAAAAAAATTCAGACAGCATACTTAGTTTAAAAGCTTATTGTACCTAGGAATGGACAGATAAATGGTTCCCAAAGGGTTAATAGGTAGGATAGTAGGATATGACAATAAGATGTGGAGTAAATCCTACAAAAGTTGTAACTGTCTATCTTTAGTCCTCTCTTCCCTACATCCATTCAAAGTCCAGAAGTCATAAAGCATGTCTGAGCTTTCAAAAATAAGTGGGTAGAGAGTTGAAGCTACTGAAAGGAGAGCTGGTTGGAGGGAAGGCACACACCCCTCATCACACAGCACACAGGAACAGAGCTGAGACTGTCAATCACAGGCTATGTGATTGAGGTCCTCCCCCCCTTTCACCTTTTTTTCTCTTCATGTCAGGAAAACCTTTCAAGAGTGATTCATGCTGAGGGTAGAGGAAGGAAGCAGCAAATAAAATTAAATTTGGTGCTCTTAATTGAGACAAGTACACACTATAGAGGGATGTGCTTTGTTCATATTTTATGTCTGATATTTACAATCGCTTTAACTGTGTTTTTTAAATTATTATTTTTAAAAAAGTGAGAGGTTACGTACTAATCTATGATATGTTGGGTTTTGCCTCTCCACTCCCCTTATGTGGGGATTGTGTCTCCCGGCTCTCCCCCCTGCCTAGGCAAACTCATCTTCTTTGCTGGCCTGTCTTTTTTTTTTTTTTCTCTGCTCTTTTTTTTCTTTTTCTTTTTTTTGTTTTCCAGTTTTTTCTGTTTGATTCTTTTTTTTTTTCTTTCTCTGCCCTTTCAAATGGTTTGTTTATATTAGGCCAATTGTCTATCAGTTATTATTGTCTTCTTACAGGTCTATGATTCTCAAGGACAACATTGCCTCATGAGAGCTTACCACTCTATGTGTTTTTCTTTTTGTTGCTTTCTTGTATGTAACTTTTATATTTTCTGAAAGTGGTTGCAGGCCTTTCGGCCTTCCATAGTATTATCTGGACCCCAGCACGCGGGTCTTGTATGTGTATCTCTGTGGCTGTTGTGTGATGTTTCCCTGTCCTTTATTGATTGTTGTTGCTTTGTATCATACGATTTGTTTTGGTTTGTATGTTTCTTTTAGCATGCTTATTAAAATCTATGGTAAAAGAAGTGAGAGGGAAATTTTAAGTCTTTCTAGTGTAATCTCAGCAGCTCTGAAGAATTCCAGCCAAAACTCTTAAATATTAGTACGAACCATGTACAAATGGCCACTGACCATACAATGTGACCTTTATGCAAACTATATCCTTAGCATTGTTATTGCTAGGAATAATTGAATTACAATCAGCGAAAGGTCTGTGTCACAGTGATTGCAGTGATTTCTTGTTGAATTGGTGAGTAATTGGCTTTTTGCAACACTTGGAGAGAGCTGCAGGATCTTCAGCTTCATTAGCTTTTCCTGTTCTCCAACACAGCGTCTGTTGATCATGACACACCAGCGTCTTGTAGCCAGCTACAGCAGCAGCTCCACAGCCAGATGCAAACTGCCAGAGAGATTTGTAGCTGCTTTAAATCTCTGCTATAGAGTTGCGTGTTTGACATAGCCCTTATGGAAGCCATATGTCATTTGCCACGATTATATGAATCCAAAGCCTATAAAGATTTATTCTTTTACTGATTGGAAAAAAAAGAATATTCTCAGCTCGCTTATTTAAAATAATTATTTTCTGTCCACAATTTAGACTTTGACTTCAGCGTCCCTGGTTCCATGAAGCTGCACAATCTCATTTCCAAACTGAAAAAGTGGATCAAAATTCTGGAGGCCAAAACGAAGCAACTACCTAAATTCTTCCTGATCGAAGAGAAATGCCGCTTCTTGAGCAATTTCTCTGCTCAGACAGCAGAAGTCGAGATTCCAGGGGAATTCCTAATGCCGAAACCCACACATTATTACATCAAAATTGCCAGGTAAATGAGACGGCGCACTGGACACAAAGGAAATGCAGACAATTGCTTGTATGATACAGATTACACTATTGACGGCACCTTTGAAGCAAGTTTTGTTTGGAACTTGCGTGACCTTGCTGCTGTCAGACCGTGATGAATTGTTTATTAACATTGCCATTTTGGGTACCACTTTTAGCGTTACCTTGCTACCTGATTGTTCTGGAAATGTGTTCTCATTTCTCTCGTTGCCATGACAGTTCTAGGGCATTGTCCTTTCTTGATAGTAAAATGCTGGAATACAAAGAAAAATTGAATGCAGCCGGCTAATGGCTTCCCAAGTGTAGTCCTTGACAGATAACAGCAGGCCAGGTCAGAAAAATATTTTTTAAAGGGACACAGCAGGAAATGAATCTTATTTAAAGACGTACTGAAGGAAGAAATGAATTCTTTTCACATGCAGCAGAGGCTAGGGAATAGATGCCTGAATAGACACGCTTTGTCCTACCTCAGTGCATCATTGTGTTGTTAGAGATGAATAGAGAGAGAGATCTACAAAGTGTTCTGTGGCATCACAAAATGGCTGAATCAGAACATCCTTTCCTTTACTGTACAAAGGTGTTAACAGGTTGAATTTAGGGCTTAATACTTAGATGTCTGTCAGCAATGTCTAATAGATTTTCATTGAAATATGATGGCTTTTATTTTGCAGTTAAAATATTTTTGAGTAAATAGATATTTAAAAAAAATAATATATATTCAATCCTAATATAAAAAATAACTTTCATTCTTACAATTATATGTTATGTTTTCTCCTAGTTTTTTGAACATCCTATTTTTGTTACCGAATAATGTTCAAGTACATTGAGGAAGAAAACTTTTGTTAAAATCCAAATGAACTTACTGTTCAAATCTGCAAATGTATTCCAGGTGCATCAACACAAAAGGTGCACAATGTCTTGCAGTTCATTTTCTGTAGAAAGCAGCCCCAGCCTGTGTTGAAAACCTGCCTTCTGCTAGCATGCTACAGAGAAGGACCTTTGCTCTATGGCCTGTTTCACATGGTCTTCAGCTTGTATAAGAGCAGTGTGAACAGTAAGCATTGACAATGCATTTTCAGAGCTCCAGTTTGTAAATACTGAATACAAATCCTAATGGGAGTGCTGATAGTCACTTAAAATAGGTTGCTAGCAGACTTCAGCACTTTCTGAGGCTCTTTGAAAGTCTGCTAGCAGCTTGCTTACAGTAGAACATTTAAGTAATTAAATTGGTGGAAAGGAAGGAATTTTAATGCAAAAGAGACATGTTTTGTCTCTTCTGCATTAAAACTACTTACCTGTCTGTTCGCCCTTTTACCGTGAACCGTACACGCCCTGCTTTGTGTACAAATTCGACAATGCCGGAAGAATCTGACTGAACTACCAATCATGTGCAAGAGTGATGTCATCCCCACCTGGTCAATGACAGTGGCCGGCAGTCAGGACCGGTAAGCCGCCCGCCCGAAGATGTCAGTGGTCGGGCAGGGAGCTTGAGGACACTGCATCACTAGAGTTGTGGTGAGTATTGTTCCACTTAAAGTGGCACTCAACACAGATCCTATTGAATGGTACTTTAAAAGCTTCAACAAAGCCTGCTGAAAGCACCACAAATGCTTTATCAAAGTTGCTGTCCACACTGCTCTTACACAAACTGAAGCCTATGTGAAACAGGCCATAGTGTGGTTGCAGAGGTCTGACACCTCCTAATGAGTTATATCTATAGCTCTGCAAGCTCATAGTCCTCCTGCTGATTGGATACCTCTAGTTCTCATTCAACAAGTTGCATTCAAACCTCTGCAAAGATACAGATTATAGGGTCCTCCTCAGCAGCATGTTGGCAGGGGACAGGCTTTTCTACACAGGCTGTACATTATTTGTTGAAGCAACCATTGTTCAACACCTTCTGAAAAAACTAATTGCTTGGCTTTTATGCTGACCCATGGGCTTAAATATTTTGGGACATCTGACCAAGAGTAAGTCCAAAGATTAGGAACGATAAGAAAGTTAGAGATAAGTTATAAATTCTTGTCTGTATACCTGTTATGAATCAGTAATGCAAGTACTACAGCTAATGAAGGGTTAGCTTGGCAGCCAGGCAATAAGCTTTGCACAGTAAGAGGTAAAAATTTGCACCCTCTTTTTCTCCCAGGAAAGGTTCATTTGATTGGAAATAAACTCCTCTCTTCTGCTAAGGGCAAATTTCCCCATCCTCCTTAGAACAAATGTAACATATTGAGTTCATACTTTCATCTAATCTGTTTTCATTTGGACTAGCTCACATTTTTCTGGAGTATCCATAATGGCATAGGTGATGCTACATTGTGTCCTCCTCTAGTGCATTTTCCATAGGAATTACCGATTTTTCACATTGCTTGATGAAAATGACAGCTTGACTACAAAACTAACCTTGGTCTGTCACATATGGCCTTGCAAAGTTTGAGGGGAAACTTCCCAATGGGCTTTTGGACAGTAGCAGAAACTTGATAGGAGATAGACCGCTGCCGCTTTCATACATACAGAGTTGTCCTTTTTTCCTAGAAATTTCTAAAAGTTTGCTAGAAATTTTAAGTGCACAGCCAGGATTATAGTTATAATGCATCAACACCTTCAGTCAGAGGGGGAGCAGGCATTTTTGAGAAGTGTGTTGGATGCTGAGGATTCAGCTCCAAGAAATCAGAGACTGACAGGTAAGTATTGAATCTTTTCTTTAAAGGGAGGCACTTTCATGTTTTTATTCTAGCAGCTTTGAGTCAACTGTAAAAGTTCCTAATTAAAGCAGCACTTATGCCCCCCACTATGTTCCTATTTCCTCTAGCCTCCCCACCCCTCTTTCCCTAACCTGTATTGTTGGTTTTTACCTCCACAAGTGAATCCAGCATTGCTGTGATTTCTTTTGGGTGACATAGCCAGGGGTCCCACGCCGCTATTTGTCATCTTTAGCTGGCTATTTCTTCAGGTTCATGCAGCCAGCTCTCGATGGCACGCCAGGCTCACCCTCTGGCTATTCCGTGTCCCTGGTCCTGCAGCCTTCTGGGAGATGTGATATAAGTATTTGAGGAGGCCACAGAACCTGGGACACGTCATTCTAGCCCAGGCCAGATTGGCAGTAGAGGGTGGGCCAATAGAGAAAAAAAAATGATCCCCCCTCAAAAAAAACCCCACACATTTGTAATGGCGGGGGAAAGGGGGTGGTGGTGAAAGGAACAAACTCCATTTTTGGAGTTAAGTTCTTCTTTAAGTAGGGTAAGTAATAAAGTGCTGTGCAAACTGGTGGCGCTATATAAGTCCTGTGTAATAACAATAATGTACACATCTCTCTGTATTTAATTCGGTATTTGTTAATAATTATTAATGTAATAGTAACTGAACTATAGAACAGCAAACATGTAAAGGTCTTATAAAAATCCCTTAAAGGGTTAACTCTAATAATTGAAGATGTGTTCACTAAGGCTGACTGGTTTCAGGCAAGTAAAATCAGTAGAATGGAGAACTAAGCCTATTGGTACATGTATCTGGTTATACGTATATCTTCCATTTACTATCACTATTACAGTATTTAATAATAAAAGTAAGTTTTAGCAGCGATATAGACTGCTGGAAAATTTGGAAGATATAAACTTGGACTCTGAACGCTAGCATCTTCCCAGTAATTTTACATTGCTGCCTGCTAGAAAGAATGCATTTACAGCTTGGTAGGACAGCTGTGCTCATCGCACCTTCCCTTTCACACACAATCAGAGGTTCTCATTTTATGGCTTGAAACCTATTATGTTAAGCCTCTACATGCTCTCATACTTTTCAAGCAGCTTGCTCATTCTAGTTGTTTTTAGAGCGTCAAGTGATTTAACCTTTTCCCATCCAGATGTAGCTCAACTACAATTTTAATGATGTTCCAAATACAATTTTAATGATGTTGTGACGCAGTGTGTGTAGTGTTTTCAGTGTCTTCCATTCTATCGTTAGTAGCACTTGCCTATTGCATAAGACAATGCATATCTTGTTTTCGAAGATAGACCAGACATTTTTTTTTTTTTTTTTTTTTTAAGTGATGAAATAGAGGAGCAATGCAAATTAATGATCTCTCAATGTAGGTCCTTCTCACCTTGCAATTGTTCGGAGATACCTAAGGGGGTTAATGTGCTCACTATTATTATTATTCTTATACAGTATTTATAAAGCGCCAATAGTTCGCTCAGCGCTGTACTCCGAGAATCACTTGCCTCCTCTGGAATCATTTCAGAGGTATCAGAATGAGCTTTGATATACTGTACTACAGTAAATACATCTCTAATAAAAGGAAACCTGTACTGAGGAAATATGGAGCTTGCCATTGCTTTACCTAGTTAGAGTTGTGCTAGCCCAGTAGCTCCAATAGTATCAAATGTCATTTGACAATCACTGACCTGGAACAAGTATGACAGTCAGGCAGGCTAAAGCTGGCTATGGATGGATCGAAATTTGGGTGGTTCAGCAGGGACTGATTGAATTTCGATCTATCTATGGCCGTTCCCATTCGAGAGCAGTCGATCTAATGATCATCTCCTCTCAAATGGGACTTCTGGTACAATTTTATTCACTCAGCAGCTGCAGCGGTGAATTTGATTTCTGAGCCATTTACTACCACCTCCCTGACCTCATTAGTGGTCAGTAAGGTCACTTGTATTATTTATGGACCAACAGGTGTGAAAGATTGGATGGGGCAGGCCAGACATTGATTTTAGGGGTGAAGTATAGATTTGTGTAAATGTATACAGTATGTGAATATATAGAATTTGGTGGTCACAGCCAACATACATACTGTAAAGATTTTTTTTTTTTTTTTTATACTAGGTACCAACAATATAATTCTGGCATCATTATAGTTGACAGGCTAAAATTCAAAATTAGGCACTTAATGTAGTTATGGTATAGAAATATCTATAATCTGACTTTTTATCTCTGATAGATTTATGCCTAGAGTAGAGATTGTCCAGAAGCACAACACTGCTGCCAGAAGACTGTACATACGTGGGCACAATGGCAAGATCTACCCATACCTGGTCATGAACGACGCCTGTCTGACAGAGTCCCGCAGGGAGGAGCGGGTTTTACAGCTGCTGAGACTTCTGAATCCATGCCTAGAAAAAAGAAAGGAGACCACAAAACGTCATCTTTTCTTCACCGGTAAACAGATTTTCTTGGTCTTCCATATGTTGTCTGGTCACCATTCAGGAGATACTCTAGTTCAGGGGTGTCAGACTCAATTTCATCATGGACCACATCAGCTTTATGGTTGCCCTCAAAGGGTCAGTAGTATCTGCAAGAGTATACCAATGTATCTACTTTTTATCATAAATAAATAATTGCCTCTGTGTTCAATTCGAGTCCCCCTACCCTCCTTTACATCACAGTGCACCCCTTTTACCTTGTGCTGCTGCTGTCAAGAAGCTGGGGGCAGTGCAGGGTCTGGAGGAGGGCCGAGTCAGCTGTCAGAGTCTGCTGAATGCTGACCCAGGGGAGGCAGAGACAAGAGGGGGCTGCGGCTGCACCAAGAAGCTCAGGATATGTAGGTGGAGTTCTGTCCAATCTGCTGCCAACTGCTGAGACAAGGTGGGGGCGGAGACGAGGGGCATGCCGCAGCTTCATGGTGAGTGCGGGGGCCACTCGGCACATGGGCCTTGTGTTTGACCCATCAAGCTCTATTCCAGGTCTGACAGTGAAAAATAAATGTGATTGTTTTTTTTTGCCACTGTAGAGACACTTTTATTTCCTCTAGCTTATTTTAGTTCACCTTATTATGTGTCTTTTTTAATAGATCTCCCCACTCCTGTATCTTTGTTTAATCCAGCCAATTATGCTTTTAGTAATAGCAGATGCTCTTCCAAAAAAGAATACAATCACAAGTGAGATCATCAAATGTAACTAAAAATAGGATGGCATTTTAGAATGTTTTTTTTTTTTTTATAAATACATGTTTAATAAATAATTTCAAGTGCTTAGGCTCCTGTAGGGTTATTTATCCCATTATAAAGCAGAGGCTGCCCACAGAGAAGGTTATTCTCACCCCCTGCTTGCAGTAACTGGGAAGAGAAGGCAAGAGCCGACTGACTAATGAACAGAAAACACGTGATCCCTTTTGTGCTAATGAGCCTGTAATTATCAGGAAGATAGCACATCGCAGACCACTTCATCAAGGCTTTCTCTCTGCTTCCCAAATGTTTCTTAGCTGGAGCCTTTGCTCTAACAGGATAATGAAATTCAATACAGAATTCTGTATTCCAGTTCCTCATTCTTACCCGCCTCACCACGCACTTCAAATGCAGTCTAAGCTTCTCGCTGCCTGACCTGCTCTGGACCCAGGTATCCTTAGGCTTCATGCACATGGGCTTAAAAAAACACTATTGCTCTTGGCTGAAAAAAAACACAACTTTTGAGTATTTTTGTATTGGCGTTGAGGTTTTTTTCTGCCAGCAAAACGTTCTCAAACGCTTCTGCCTTTAAATGCTTAGCTTAAAAAACGCCTCTAGACTCCTTAATGTGCATGGATACATAGGATAACATTAGTTGCTTCTACAGGCAAAACGCTCAACTAACCTAGGAGCAGCATTTTTTTTTTAAAACCAGTGTGCATGGACCCTCTGTATTCTCTGACATCACGTGTAATTGTTGGTGTAGAGATAATAATGGCCGTCTCTGTCTTTATTTTGGTTGGCCATTTTTCTCTATGGGTAGGTGCAGCACCTACATGATGGTTTCACAGGATGCAAATGTGATGGAGGTTGTAAACACTGCACAGCTGTGAGTGTGCTAAGCCAGTGGTCTCCAAACTGTGGCCCTGGGGCCAAATGCGGCCCTTTGCTTGCCTTTATCTGGCCCTTGGGGACTATTTCTCTCTGGCATGAGACACCATTTTGCCAGCTGACACCAACAGTGCAATGGGGCACCATTTCTCCCACTGACAACAATCATGGGGCACTATTTCTCCCAATGATAACAATGGACCACTATTCCTCTCCCTAATACCAAATGTGGCGATGTTTATGCCCATTGATGCCAGGACAGTATCCACTGCTGCTGCTGGCCACAGTCTGGCTCACCTAGTCTGAAGGACAATAAACTGGCCCTTTGTTTAGGAAGTTTGGAGACCCCTGTGCTAAGCAGTAGGAGGAAGGATCAGTCTACATTCTTAATCTTATTTCAGAATTTGATTGGTGGGATGTCCTTTAGAATCTTCTAAACATTTAAACTTAAAAGTAATTCAGGCCAGGCTATGGACATTCCAGTATTGTGTATTTGTATCAAGCAGATAATTAGCTTTTTAAACACAATGTTCAAGTTGTTCTGTCCCTCCCTCTCAGCAGTAACTCTACAGCCTGCCAGCCTTCAAATCTTTTAATGGTAATGTAGAACATGAGCTCTGGGCAGGGGAGCATAGTGAGCTGAGCTGCTGGGAGGAGGATTCAACCAACTTCAGTGCTTCTGCTGTGAACTTTGAGCATGCATTGCTCCACAGTGCCTTCAGTTCCAAGGGTCAGTGAAGGCTTGTTTTTAAGTTCTCTACTGCTTGTTAATAACTTGAATGTCCATTCCAAATTTAGGGAATTCCTTGGGCCCCCTAGGTCACCAGATCTATTGTTCCTATTGGAAAATTTCCCCTCTTAATGTTTCAATGATGATGGTAAACGGGACAAATAGGGTGAATCTCCCTAACAGGGGCAGAGATAGCAATAAAAACTGGCAAGTATTCTAATCCTTCTCCACTCTATCCAAAGCTTAAAAAAAAGTTTTGCCTTTTAGTTATACTTTGACAAGAGTGCTGACTGTCATTGTAAACTAGCTGTTAGCAGGCTTTCAAGTAGTGCTTCGACTTATCAACACTTTCATCAGGATTTGTGTTCAACATCCCCAAACAGAGGCTGAGGGGAACATTTAAATGTTTACCAAAGCTAACTAAAATGCAACTGTAAGGTAAATGCAAATGTAATTTGCAATTGCTCTGTAAACATTTGATGTATAATCTGCTTGTATGCAAACTGAAGTATGTACAGTATATACATGGTCTAACAGTGATTCTGAACCATTCTTCATCCACGGCACCGTTTAAAAGTATGCAAAATCTGGAGGCACCCCAGTCTAAATGTAAAAAACGTAAATGTTATCAATGGTAGCCTTCCTCCCTTTATGTCAGAGGACCCCCTTCACATCAGACTCTCCCTATCATAGAGGCATGCCATCACACCAGAGTTCCCCATGCCAGTGTGCTCCCATCACACCAGAAACCCCCATCGCCACAGTGCCCCCTCATCACAGATTCCTCTCATCCACCTCTGATCCAGGGCTAACTGGGTCTCGTACTCACAGTATCCTGGGGGAACACAAATAGCACTCTAGTGTGCCACACGTCGGCAACCTGGTAGAAACACTGATCTAACAGGTGAAAGGTGATCCACAATTTCCCAGTTAAGGCACTAGAGGTAGACTGCTGCAATTGTTCACTACGTAAAAAGTCTATTGCATGGTTGTCCCAGAGTTATTTGTTCATAATTTTGGTCATGCCGCCCATGCTGCTCCTTTCCACAGCAAGAACAGAAATGACTGGTGGTGTGAAGAGTATTGGGGTCATTGATCTCTTTTCTTTTCCTGGCCATATGACTGTGTGGACCTAGCGATTGGCTGGTAGATCCCAACACTGTCATAGAGGTAATGTGTTTCTCCAAGATGAGGTTGTAAGGTGAGTATAAGAAGGTCCAGACTTCTACCTCATGTGTTTCACCAGAAATGAAAAGCAGAGTTGAACATGGGTTTGCTGGTGTTTAATGGAGACTATGAGTATTACATTATGTCTTATGTAGCTAAAATATGAAATAGCTGTGAATTCCATGTCAAGTGCTAGGTGCCTTCCTGTGCTAATTTATTGGACGGACAGATATTTACACAGTGGTGTTATGGCTTTCCCTGTCTGCATTACTTTCCTGTTGCATTAATCAATTTCCCTCCCTCTCTTCTCTTTTCCTCACTCCCTCTCCAAACAATAATTTCCAGTCCCCCGTGTTGTGGCCGTCTCACCGCAGATGCGTCTGGTTGAAGACAATCCCTCTTCTCTCTCCTTGGTGGAGATCTATAAGCAGCGCTGTGCCAAGAAAGGCATCGAGCATGACAACCCTATTTCACGTTACTATGACAGATTGGCTACAGTTCAAGCGCGAGGGACTCAAGCCAGTCATCAGGTACGGAATCTTTGATTAATGAATTTGGAAGGTGCACTGTAGAGGCATTCTACACCCTGATGTGGTTTAATCATCCTGCGGTATCCATTTTCATGCAAGTATGTCATTTCAGTGTAAATGAGCTCAGCCTAAGATGATTATAAGCTTAGTCATCTTGAGCAGCTGGACAGGGCTTTTTGACGCGCACATGGTCATCTGCTATATGAAAAGATACATTTTTTTGCTTACATTCATTACATGCTCTTTGCTGCTTCTGTTTCCTGTAAATAGTTCCAGAGATTTTAGTTTGCTGTTCTTAAAGTAAACTTGTTGACCTTTAATTTTTTTTTATAGCCAAAAGTGTTGCCATTAGGGAGATGACAAGGTGCCCAGTATCATTTCTCTGGTCCAGAAAAGCCTCTGTAGTGCCCTTATGAGACTACCTACACTCTGCTGTGAGATCCAAACTGGAGGCATGAACCATGCCTATCTGCAGCATTGGTCCAGTGAAATTCTCATATTGGCCAGCTAGGTATTCTCATTGAACAAGAGACTGGCACGAAAACTCCTGCACACGGCTTTGCACGGCTGTGCATAGCAGTGTGCTTACAGTGCAGCACAAACATGGCCCAGTATGCAAAACAGCACACAGTTAACTCTTTGATCGCCACACATGTTAACCCCTTCCTGCCCAGTGCAATAGTACAGTGTCCGTGCTTTTTATTAGCATTGATCACTGTATTGGTGTCACTGGCGATGTCAGTGACACCAAGGCAGTTACCCGCAGTGTCAGAATGCCCACTGCAGTCCCACTATAAGTCGCTGATCGCCGCCATTACTAGTAAAAATTAAAAAAGAAAAAAAAAAATCCCAGTGTATATATACCGCCATTTGTAAAGGCTATAATTTTCACATAAACCAATTAATTTACACGTAGTGTGATTTTTTGGGGGGTTTTTTTTGTTTTTTTTTTTAAGCAAAAAGTCAAAAATATTGTGTTTTTTATCAGAATTGTCAGTCTTTTATTTTTTGGGCTATAAAAAAAAAAAAAAAAAAAAAAAAACACACAGGCGATAAAATATTATCGAAAGAAAGCTCTATTTTGGGTAAAAAAAGGACGTAAATTTAATTTGGGTGCATCATTGCATGACTGCGCAATTGTAGGTCAAAGTAACACAGCGCCGTAACGCAAAAAAATGGCCTGGTCAGGAAGGGGGAAAAATCCTCTGGAGGGCAAGTGGTTAATGTCAAATTTTGCATCAAAATTGGCAAAAGTGCAAATGAAACTTTTTAGTTCTGTTCCAACAGCCTTATGATGCACAATCCATGAAGAAATCAAGTGTTTTTGAATAGCATAGGTTGATTAGAAATGGGTGGGGTAATGTCCATAATGACGCAAAAAGTGGGCAGCCAAAAACGCAAAGGACAGATACAAATGTGGACAGAGTGCGAACCCTGGTACTTACAGATCGAAGATTGAGTGTGCAAATGATGGCAGAAAAATTGAACATGAACATAGAATCCGTGCAGAAGATTCTAACAGAGAATTTTGAGATTGAAAAAGATTTCTGCAAAGATGGTGCCTCAGACTATCATTTGATCTTTTGAAGAATGCAGAGGTGTTTGATAGGGATATAAGTGAGGGGAAATCTTTTGAAGCTGCAGATAGTGGAAAAAACCTGACAGGTGTTCTAATTCTTCCCTACTCTATCCAAAACTAAGAGGGGAAAAAATACTTTAGCTAGCTGTACACTTTACAATAGCATGAACACTAAATGTAGTTTTTCTTTCATTTTTTTGTTTTTTCTGGTAAGTGAGTATAGCTGTAACCATAACCGACTCCTTGGTGTATTTTCTGCTTCTGCTATCCAAACAGGGGACAGCCTACTGTATTAAAGGTTAAGTTCACTTCAAAACAAGGTGCTTTCATCCTTTTTGCCCCCTTGCCTAATCCACCCTATCCTTCCACAGAACCATACTTACCTCGCTCTGCAGACTTCTACGGAGCTGTGTCCTGAGGTCATAGATAATTGAGACAGTCCCATAAAAGTTGAGTCTGTAATGTGCAGGCTCGGCCAGGACAGAGAATACTTAGATGGTTTTAAGCAAACAGCAGAACCGCTGCCATTGGATCCGGGTAAGTATGCTTCTGTGTAGGGGAGAGTAAGTTAGATTAGTTTAGGGGAAAGAGGCATAAAGGATAAGTGCACGTTGTTTAAAAGTGCACTTTTCCTTTAAGAATTAGTAATCTTTAACAAAGTCAGATTCAGCTCCACATACATGGCATATTAATGCATAGTGAATCATCAGACCTTGTGGCTTAATATAACAGAAGTCTTAAAGTCCAATAAGTAAAGCAGGTTCCCTAATTGAAGTAAATGGCTTTTATGAATATAAGAAAAATGGCTTTAAGTACATAGGATTTATTTTTACCAACTACCATTCTGAGTACAGCGCAGCAGCCATGCAGAGTATACATCATTATGGGTCTGACAATAAATCTAAGAGACTTATAAATCAAACTGATACACTGAGAACTCAAATGCTGACCACAGATTGGTCACTCACGGTAAAGTGCTGTATGAAGTACTGTTCCATAATGGTTTGAACAAGGGCATATGTCATACATGGAATAGTTTAAAGCGGAGCTCCAGACAAACTAATAAAAATAAAAGTCAGTAGCTACAAAAAAGTATAGCTGCTAACTTTAAAAAAAATAGCCACTCCCACGATCCATCGGTGTACTTACCACAGCCGGTTTTACTGGCCATCCTTGCTTCCTGGCACCAGCATTCTAAGTGTGTGCACCCGGCTGAGACAGCTTGTGGCTTCACAGCTGGGTGCCCACTGCACATGCACCAGTGGCACTGCGCCTTGTGAATGGTCCCATAGTCTTCTGGGACCTGTCACGTGTCGCAGAAGACTACAGGGAGGGGAGGACAACTTCCGCTTCTGATTGCCTAGGCAGTTGCAGTGAAAGTGGGAGCAGGTACCTGTCAAAATCAGGTACCCGCGCCCCTCAATCCCCATTGGAGCTTTCATATATCCTGCCAGAAGCTTGTATTTTTTATATACAATATATTCTTATCTTTTGTTTTTCTGATTAAAGTGAATCAGACCCTCATAAAGCTATGTAACGAGGTGGCCATAGTGCTAGGTACAGAAAACTGTCCGTTCTCTAGGTTCAGCATACTTAAGCCTCCTTGCTTAAAAAGTGTTACTAAACCCACAATAGTAAAATCAGTCTGTATATGCAGTAAAGCATGCTTGTTATACTCACTGTGGAACCTAAGGGGTTAATCCTCCACATTGTGTAAAAAGGCTTTTTGATTCTGTCTTCTGTGATACTCCCCTTCTACTGCCCCCAATTCATCTGCTGATAGTACAGAGCTCTCTGAGTCACTCTGCACATGCTCAGTGTGTATTGCTAGAGAGGTGTTTTTCTTTCTTTTTTTTTTTTTTTTTTTTTTCGGAGGGTGATCAGCACAGGGCAAATCAGCACTGTCTAGACAGAAGGTCGGGGGTTATGCAGCCTCATAGGACAGTCAGAGCAGGATGAAAACTCCTCCTACAAGCTTTACCAGTGCTTGGCTGGACACAGATAGAAGTCACAAGACTGATATATATTTCTGATGAGAAAAGGTATATAGTGGTTTATCATTTCATTTCCATGTTCTGTGTACTGTGAAAGACTGGATATAGTGAATGCAGGGTCCTGGGTTTAGTAAGTTAATACTTGTTGAGATATCATCCATACTCCTAGATTTACATTGTGCAAAGTAGCAGTAGAGTGTACTCCAGGAGCCAGAGCCTGCATATGTAATGAGGATATATGGATGCCCCAGTGTACATATTTAAATACAACCTATACACAGAAACAAGACCTCAAATTAATATACAGGCGTACCACGGTTTATGAACGCCTCGGTTAACGTAATTTTCGGTTTACGAATTAAAATCCATTGAAAATAATGGCTTGCTTTCCGAATTTTTTTTTCGCAATACGAACGGATTAATTTGGTTTTCAATGCATTTACAGATTTTGTTGTTTTTTTGTTTTGTTTTTTTCTTAGTCATGTCCCTATATAGTACTATGCGTTTAAAGTGCACTTTATAAAGCGTTTTGAACAGATGAAACTTTTTTTTTTACTTTTTTCTGACCTCCGGAATGGATTAATTGGTTTTCAGTGCATTTACAAATTATTTTTTAATCATGTCCCTTTATGCCTTTAAAGTGCACTTTATAAAGCGTTTTGAACAGATAAAAGACTTTTTTTTTTTTTTTTTTCTCTGACCTCCGGAACGGATTATTTGGTTTTCAATGCATTCCTTTGGGAAACCGCGTTTCGGTTTACAAATTTTTTGCAATACGAAAAGTCCCGCAGAGCGAATTAAATTTGTAAACCGAGGTACGCCTGTATAGCTGTATGCGCTATATAAGGACAAAATACATTTCTTGCTTACTGAAACTTAAATGCACTATTTCATATAGCATCAGACTGCTATGTCAAGGTCATAATCTCAACTGGCCAGTTACAAATCCTAGATGAGACTAAAGGATAAAGCTGGCGGTGGTAAATAACTAGCATGCTTTTCTTCTATTTGTTGCAGGTTCTGCGCGACATCCTGAAAGAGGTGCAGAGTAACATGGTGCCACGCAGCATGCTGAAGGAGTGGGCTTTACACACGTTCCCCAACGCCACCGACTACTGGACCTTCAGAAAGATGTTTACCATCCAGCTAGCTTTGATCGGCTTTGCAGAATTTGTCTTTCATTTGAACAGGCTGAATCCAGAGATGCTGCAGATTGCACAGGTGTGTGGAGTATTTGAAGAAGCGGAAAATCTTCTGCTGCTGATCAAACCACTCATGCTGAACATAACTGTACAAATCCTCCTATAATTGCATAGCAGACTTAACTGTTCCTGTTCCAGCTGCTCATCTACTCACTCCACAGTTGGATTCTTATGTTTGTGTAGTTCTTAGACAATGTTTCAGCTTAACCATTTATCCCAATGTTATAACTGCATACTGAAGAAGCAGAAAGCGCAGTAGCTCACTATACTGTTATTACAGCGACTAGAAAATGTTCTGGCAAAATCCCATATCTTGTTAGAGGATCAGTGAATGTGAATTACAAGCTAGTTTATCACAGGAATCCCAGAGAAGAATCCTGCCAACTGTCACTTTTTAAGCCTCCTTAAATAGTCTTCTGTGCAGGTAGGTTACACATTTATGATTTTTCTGAGTGGCACTTTCACATTAACTCGCTTGTTTAAAGTGGAAATAAACTGGTGGGTTGAATGGCAGCTTTTGCCTTAATGTGCAAGTATGCATATTTGATAGCGTGCTTACCTCTGGGAATGCCCTCCTCCAGCAATGCATAGTTCTGGATTCCCTCCCACCCTACACTTTTCTTACTGCCATTCCCAGTCTTCTTGCTTCGCCACACATGTTAAATTTCACATTTTAGGCCTGAAGAGTAGTTCAAAACCAGACATTATATATCTTCTGGAAGGAGAGACCATAGAGAATGAAATAGACAGTTGGCCTAATATCATGTGACATAAATAAACTGCAATTCACTATCAAACCCAAATTTCTATTAAAAAGATAAAACCACTACAGTTAATTTGGTGCATACCAACACAATATATTACCCACTTTTTTTGTAAAATATAAAAGGTGAAGTCACATCGAGTAAATAGATGGCAAACATGCCAGGCCTGAAAACTGTGTATGGCTGTGAAACAGCGACAAACTACGGTACCCAAAACTGTCCATAGGTGATGCTTTAACAGTCTTTACAGGTCATCAATTTAGAGTTAACTAATTGATAGTTCTAGAATTATTGCTCTCACTCTTGCGTGCATGGTGATCCCCTGGCCACAGCACCTAGGGGTCCTACATTTTAGTTTTATTTTCTACTCTTTGAAAGAAAAAGACCACTGAGAAACGATAGCCTTGCTTCCATCATAGGTACAGTAGTAGTAAAAGAGATAAATGGTGACAGGGAGGGTGCTCTGATCCTGTGAGCTGTTTGAAAGCGGGTGTATATCCCTTCCCTCCAATCAGCTCTCACAGCTCTCCTCATTAAGCTCTGCAGAGTGTAATTTCAGTTCCCCGACCCCTATTTTGTGGAGGCTCAGACAGGTTGTATGCGTTGAATGGATGTAGAGAATCCTGCAAATAAACAGGTACAACTTATGTAGGAGGATTAGTTTCATCTTTGTGTGTCACCTGACACCAGTTAGTTCACTGGGTATATGTGAGGGTTTACAGCCAATTTTTTTTTTTAGTTTTTTTGTTTCAATTATTCAGAACTCAAAAATATGCAATATGTTGTACAGCGATAAACTGGTACAAAGCTGTTGACATTTAATTTTCATTTAAATATTTATCTTTTTATAGGATACCGGCAAGCTAAATGTGGCCTACTTTCGGTTCGATATCAATGATGCTACAGGAGATCTAGACGCCAACCGCCCTGTCCCATTTCGATTAACCCCAAACATTTCCGAGTTTCTCACTACAATTGGGGTGTCAGGGCCACTGACTGCTTCCATGATTGCTGTGGCTCGGTGCTTTGCACAGCCCAATTTCAAGGTATGTTGATTAGGCCACAATGGTAAATGTTTTTATACGAATAGTAATATAAAAGCTCGGGTTGGAGATTATTTTTCTACTTTTATCATTCTGGTAGTGGGTGCATTGGTGTGAAATGCATGTCACATTACAGGAGGCACAATCGTAAAAGACATACACACCAGCTCCATCCACTCAAACCCATGTCCATTCAATGAATGGATCAGATTTTGCTTCTATTTTTTTAGTTTTGAGTGTGGGTATATGTATCTGTTCATATTCAGACTTTGAACAAAGACATGCTGAAGGTTCTGAACACTAACTGACCTCTCTTCACTCTGTCTTCGAATGCAAAATTATCCTTGAGATATGTGAATCCTAAAAATGCCTGCTAGTTCATGAATCAAAAAACGTATGTTGTATGCAGTAGTGGGAGCATAAAATTGACTAGTCCTGGGAGTTTCAGGATCCAAAATACATTGATGTATGAGAACAAAGGATGTCCGATCGGCTGCACTCCAAACAACCCACTTTATTGAACCAAGATAAAACCAATACAGACAGTAGAAATGCAGCGGGGGACTGGCAGGTAAACACGTTTCATGCTAAAGACGGTGCTTATTCATTATTGTGGGTACTGAATAAGCGTTATCTTTAGCGTGAAATGCGTTTACCTGCCATTCCCCCGCGGCATTTCCACTGTCTGTATTGGTTTTATCTTGGTTCAATAAAGTGGATTGCTCAGAGTGCAGCCGGTCGGACATCCTTTGTTCTCATCTATGCAGCACACCAGTTGGGCTAGCACCTACAGGAGGAGTTGTGCTTGGAGATTGGGAGTCTCTCTAGCTTGAGCAGCGGTAAACATACATTTTCTGATGTAGTTTGTTGTTCCTCTTTAGGCAATTGAAGCCCTTCCAAATGCACTTTGCCTATCTGTTTTGTGCCTTATTCATAGAGCTTGTAGTACTGCAATATAGTCACTATATTTTAACCCATTAAAGTGCACTAACTTAGATGAGACACATCTTGCGGCATCAGGATCAGTGTTATTGCATATGTGTGTGTGCATGTATGGGCACTCATGCCTATCGAAGCCTGCATACATGTGTTGCATTCTTCATGTACTTACACTTTGTCAAGGCTGTTGCAGCAATGATGAAAGGCAATGAAAATTAAACATGTAAACTCCCAGACAGTGGGCATTGTCATTTGACAGTGAATATATGACAAAGCAGTGTTGGTTTAACCACTTGCCTACCAGGCACTTATACCCCCTTCTTTACCAGGCCAATTTTCAGCTTTCGGCGCTGTCACACTTTGATTGAAAATTGCGCGGTCATGCAAGATTGTGCCCATATGAAATTTTTATATTTTTTTTCTCCCAAATAGAGCTTTCTTTTGGTGGTATTTAATCGTCACTGGGCACTTTACTTTTTTGCGCTATAAACAAAAAAAGTGTAAAAAAAATTTGAAAAAAAAAGTTTTTGTTTCTATTATAAAATTTTTCAAACAGGTAATTTTTCTCCTTCACTGATGTGCGTTGATGAGGCAGCACTAATGAGGTGGCATGGATAGGCGGCACTAATGAGGTGGCATGGATAGGCAGCACTAATAAGGTGTCACTGATAGGCGGCACTGATAACTGCTGGGCATTGAATGGCGCGGCACTGCTAGGCATTGACTGGCGCAACAGCTGGGCACTGACTGGCAGCACTGCTGGGCTGCAGTGATGGGCACTGGTGGGGTGGCACTGCTGGCACAGGTAGGTGGCACTGCTGGGTGGCACAGGTGGGTGCACTGCTGGACACAGGAGGCTGCACTGCTGGGTGCAGGTGGGTGGCACTGCTGGGCACCGATCATAAGGGCACTGATCATCAGTGCCAATCCCTGCTCTGACAACTGCCGGTTCTCGGCAGTACTTTCCTCACAGTGCATCCGAGAACCGGCAATTGCATTTCCCGGTGATCAGCGTGTCATTGGACATGGCTGATCATGTGGTAAAAGGCTGCTGTGATTGGCCTTTTACAACATCACGTGATCAGCTGTGTCCGTAGGACACAGCGATCACGGAGATCGCCGGGGTGTGCAGGAGAGCGCGTTCTGGGAGGACGTCATATGACGCCCTCCCAGAACTGGCCAGCCGCAGTGTAGCCGCCATTCGGCTATCTGCGGTTGGCAAGTAGTTAATGATACTTAAAAAAAAAAAAAAAAAAAATCCTCCTACTCCTTTACTGCACATGGGCAGAGAACTCCCTCCTACAAAATGCCAAAGAACTTTGTAAGCAAGAATAAAAATAAGAAAGATCATTCTACTCAGCAGTGAAATGGTTAAGCATGCATAAAACATTTAAAACATTTTTTGTGTAACTTTGGGAATGGTTAGAGCCTCTGTCTGGTCTTTATAGAGACGTCTCACTGCCCTGGGCACAGACACAGCTTTGTTCCCAATGATTCCCAGTGATCTTAAACCAGAGAAAGCCAAGACAACCTATTTATTCTGCTTGTCTAGTTTATAGATCCGTTCATTTTCATGTCTTGCTTGCAAAAGTAGTGAGAGTCATCTAAAGAGAACCTGCTGTTAGAGGCTATACCAAAATTATGCTTTAGTAATTCTTATTCCATAGAGCTTCTCTAAAGAAATGAAACAATATTCTGCTATATATCAGCACAGTCAATTTTTTTTAATTAAAGCAGATTGCCACAGACATCATCTGTCAGCATTATACGGTGGTTTCCTATTTCTTGTTGAATTAATTTTTATTAAAAGGGAAAAGGTTAAATGTAGCCATTGGAAACGATCTTGTTTCAGCCAAAGACTCCCATCTGCTGGAATGAGGCATGCTGAAAAATTCTACTCATAGAAGATTTGACTTCATCCAATTCACAGAACCACTCAGTCCTACCAACTGCTTATATTTATTGCCAACATCATGGTTGCTGATTTCCAAAAGCGCAATGTAATTTAGAAGCAACTACTGATACAGAATTACTTGAGCAGGTTATACATTTATTGTGCATAACAGACCTGTGTCCATTCATCTACAGGCAACTGCTGCTGTTTGATAAAGCTGGCACCCCTCAGTGCACTCATGCCCTAGGAACCCGAGAACAGATTACTTCTGCTGTGCAAATATTGACTGCAACTAGGAAGTTGGTACTTGACCGTTCCAACGGCAGCCCCCATTTTGCTTATTGAATACCCTCATTGCATTGATGGAGCAAAAGAGTAAAGGGGAAGGGGGGGTAGAGCCAGGCTCCATTTTCCTGTCTAAAGTTTTTGTACAGCAATCTGAAATACAACTGAGGGATATGTGCTTTTACAACTGAGCACCTGCATTTACTACGTAGTTTACATTGGTTGACATGAGTATTGGCAGCAGCATTGCACGTTGTGTAAAAGAAATCGATCAAAGACCATTAATCACAGAGAGCCAGTGATTGTCAGTCTCTACTATGTCCCTCCAGTGCTCACTGGAGCACTGGGCTGTGGAACGGACGGGAGTGCCTGGCTTAGACTCTCAGTGGCTTGCATCCCAGGCATCTGGGTGGATTCTGACTGTAATATCAGGATATTTCCAGAGCCTGGACCTGCTAAGTCACATCAGCCAACAGCAGACTTTACTGTGCTGACAGCTGAAAATGGGTCACAGGAGTGCAAAAGGAACTGCACTTCTGTAACCCGTAGGAGAAGTATTACCAAAATGGCTTTGTCCATACTTCTCCTTAAAAGTTAACAAGTACTTGGATAAATATGCAGCCTGCCATTGTTGACATGAAAGATACTAGTTACCTGTTAGCCTGCTTTTAAAGGACAACTTACACACATGTTCAGGATGTAACATGTTACTGTAGGACCAATTCCCCCCCCCCCCCCCTTCCCAATTCCAACCTTTTTCAAAAAAATGCGGCCGTGCTGGGCTCCATTCGCCTGGTCACGCCATTCATTCACAGAGTTCTGTAAATGGGAAACAAACTACAACTCCCGACTGGAGTTTTCGGTGAACTACCACAGTGCTCAACAGCTGTCAACAGTTCATTGATTTTTTTCTGTCAGTGTAAACCTGCCTGCCCATACGATGTACAGGCAGATTAAACTGACAGTCTGCTGGAGTCCTGCATGGCACCTATAATCTGTTGATCGCTGGTGCTATGCTTTCCAGGCTCCTAAAATATAAAATAGTAAATGCACATTTTTTTTTACCTGCAAAAAGATGAAGGTGAACTTATCCTTTAACACTGTGGGGGGGATTTACTAAAACTGGTGTACTTAGAAGCTGGTGAAGCTGTGCATGGTAGTTAATCAGCATCTAACTTCAGTTTGTTCAATTAAGCTTTGGCAACAAAACCTGGAAGCTGATTGTTTTCTGTGCAGAGCTGCACCAGATTTTGCACTGTCCAGTTTTAGTAAATCCCCCTTTGTCACCAACATGGAGCAAGCATGCAGAACCTCTGTCAGAACTTCCAATATGTACACTTGTACTGAATTGGTGACTTATAAAGAGTTTTGATGCTATTGGAATCAGGTGCAGGGTTCCTTGGAAAATGAGTGTCCAGGTTAGCGTAGACTGTGTTTTGGTTAACCCTTTGAGGATCTTAAGATTTTGGAACGCCAAAAGAATCAATTTTTTTGTTTTAAAAGTTCGTACACTTCAGTTGCTGTAACTAAGCCATTTCATGAAATAATTGGCAAAAAGCTAGATCCATAACATCAATACCATGGGACATATATATAGCATGATATAGGGATCCTGTTTTAGCGTGAAAAAAAAAGAAAATAAATATATGTGCGTGATGATACTGACAAGGTAAAGATGGAAAACAGATGTGCAACCCCTGAACACTGTGCACATATATATATATATATATATACATATATATATATATATATATATATATATATATATATATATATATAAAGTCCAGTGATCCTGTATCAATATTCTCCACTCAAAACAGAGTCCATGGACTGTATGTGGACCCGCACGCCACCACGTGCAATCCAAAACCAGCTGAAATGGCCTCTCACCTCCTCCCTGCGACCCTGCAGGGCCACAGAGCTTTAACAGATCCCCACTGAATCAAAATATGCTTCCTCTTGAATGGATGGCTTCTTTAGTGTATCCCCAGTATGCAGCTTCCACCTCTCCTATGATATCCTCCAAGGTTTAGCTGAGCAGAGTGGACCCCAGCTCAAACCCCATTAGGAAAAAGGAAGCAAAAAGACATCCTCCATAGTGTAAAACCGTTTAATATAAATGCCAGAAGGTAAATGTATAGTACACTCACATTTGCCAGATGAAATACAGGCTGTTTCCCATACCATGGGTGTAAGCGTGTGTCTGAAGGGTGTACCAAGATGGCGCCGCGCCGGAAGTGCGTCACCACGTGTTGCGTCACGTGACCCCGTGACTTCCTCAGGACTAACGTGATTGGTCTGTAGCACTCCCTTAAATAGGCCAGCCTTTCCTCCAATCGTGACCCGCTGGGAGTGGTCACGGCGGCCATGTTATTGTAGCCCGACGATCTCCTACTTACAAATAGCCTAAATGGGTATATATAGATGTATACACCACAGGCTTATGCTCTAGCACTCAAAATTATGCCAGACCCAATATTACATGTAATGGTGAGTAATTATGATATACTGAATCCACAGACTAATGTGTAAAACCAAATAAGTAAAAAAAGTCATAAATCTATAAATCTATATGTAAAAATAGCCTCCTGAGATAAACTTTAATAAGGAGGTAAATACAAGTGCAGAATCAAATCTAAGAAAACAAAAATATATATATATATAAATAATAAAATATATATATATGGAAAATAAATATATAAAGAGTGGATCACAAAAAACCGCCGCTCACCTCTTAAAGAGATAAATGATGACAAAAATCATTAAAAATACCACCTCTAGACATACGCTGATCACCCTTCACATGACTACATGAAATACCAAAGGAACATAAAAAATACAAATAAAATAGATAAAAAAATGTAAATAGCCAGAAACACATATAATACTCAAAATACAACACAGGAAAATTAATGATCACTAATAAAGCAATTTAAATCAAAATCAATATTAAGCCCTTTGGGCGTGTGTGTATCTAAAATAAAAATCCACTTTGACTCTGCCTGACTTAATGCTCTGATCTTATGGCTTCCTCTCCAGTGCCTATGGTACTTCTCAATTCCCCAAAATACCAAACTAGAGGGATCTTTATTATGATGTTGTGCGAAATGCCTTGAGACGCTATGCTTAGGAAAACCTTTGCGAATATTTTGAACATGTTCTCTCAATCTGACCCATAATGGTCTTTTCGTCCGGCCAAAGGGAGTGCTACAGACCAATCACGTTAGTCCTGAGGAAGTCACGGGGTCACGTGACGCAACGCGTCGACGGCAACACGTGGTGACGCACTTCCGGCGCGGCGCCATCTTGGTACACCCTTCAGACACACGCTTACACCCATGGTATGGGAAACAGCCTGTATTTCATCTGGCAAATGTGAGTGTACTATACATTTACCTTCTGGCATTTATATTAAACGGTTTTACACTATGGAGGATGTCTTTTTGCTTCCTTTTTCCTAATGGGGTTTGAGCTGGGGTCCACTCTGCTCAGCTAAACCTCGGAGGATATCATAGGAGAGGTGGAAGCTGCATACTGGGGATACACTAAAGAAGCCATCCATTCAAGAGGAAGCATATTTTGATTCAGTGGGGATCTGTTAAAGCTCTGTGGCCCTGCAGGGTCGCAGGGAGGAGGGTGAGAGGCCATTTCAGCTGGTTTTGGATTGCACGTGGTGGTGTGCGGGTCCACATACAGTCCATGGACTCTGTTTTGAGTGGAGAATATTGATACAGGACTTCACTGGATTATATATATATATATATATATATATATATGTGCACTGTGTTCAGGGGTTGCACATCTGTTTTCCATCTTTACCTTGTCAGTATCATCACGCACATATATTTATTTTCTTTTTTCATGCTAAAACAGGATCCCTATATCATGCTATATATATGTCCCATGGTACTGATGTTATAGTTGTGTGTTTTTAGCGCTACATCATTTTCTAGTTTTTTCTGCATTTTATTTGATCTTGGGGTATTGGATCAGATGTTGGCAGCTTCACACGTATATTTATCATTTTTTACATAGGAGCGCAAGCAGATTCCATATAGCAAAAAGCTAGATCCATTTGTTGTTTGTTGATAAGAACTAATATTTTGACTCAAACCAAAAAAAAAAAAAAAAGAGTTTTAAGTTCTTAATCAGATGATACACGCAATTAAAAACATGGGACAAATACGTCCCTTGGTCCTCAAAGGGTTAACAAAGAAAACACTATTCCAGTGCAGCTTTCCTTACAGCTAATCAGCTTTTCTCCTCCCTCAACTGCTCGTTTCTTATCTAAATATAATAATACATTCTCTCCTTTTCATCAGGTTGATGGCATCCTAAAAACTGTACTGCGAGATGAAATAATCGCCTGGCACAAGAAGACACAAGAGGACACTTCTTCTCCGCTATCACCAGCTGGGCAACCTGAGAACATGGACAGCCAGCAGCTCGTGTCATTGGTCCAGAAAGCCGTCACGGCCATTATGTCACGACTGCACAACTTGGCTCAGTTCGATGGTGGAGAGAGCAAAGTCAACACACTAGTGGCTGCTGCCAACAGCCTGGACAACTTGTGTCGTATGGACCCTGCATGGCACCCATGGTTATAAGGGAGTTTAGATGTATTTAAATTAAACTATCTGTTCCTAAGCTAACACAACGGTACTCAATCATGCTGTGCTATGAGGGTTGTTTTCAAGCTGTGAAGGATTTTTTTTTTTTTGTTTAACTATGGTAGATGTGCCATATAAAAGAGATATCCATAGGCTTTATAAACTAGACTTGCAATACTACCTTCACCACTGCTGACTGTTCCTGAACAACTGAAAGATTCTGGGTAGATTATACGCAATTACAAGACGTGATGGGCTTTTGAAGGGGTAAGCTGTTGGCCTCTATGGAAGCTAATCATGTTTACAGAACATTTCTGCCTGTTGTCATTAAGTGGTATGCTTTTTTACAAAGAGAATATTGATTTTCCTCAAGTTCAAACACATTTCAAAGCATTTAAAATAGCAGCTCTAGTGGATGAAAAACACACAAAGGGACCCTGTACAGACATATAATGATTTTCTTCCTTTGTTATTGTGTTGTAGCTTTATATGAACTAGAAAAAAAGAAAGGAGATGTAATATTTTATACTTTTTAAAACTGGCACGTCTACAATGCTGTATCGGTTTTAGGCCAACATGGCTTTCATATGTTCTTTCTACAAAGACTGTTAAATACAGGCAGGTGTTAATTTTTTTTCCCAAATGTTAAGTTGGAGTGGGCTGTACAAAATATATCATGTATAGGTCTTTCTTTGTTACATAAAGTTCTTGAACAAAGCTGTACACTTCGAGCAATGGGGATGATCCATGGAAACTGGGGCAAAGGAAACAGAAAGAGAACTCTTGGGCATAGCAGCCAGCCAGGTTGTTATTGCAATGGAAACACGACATGGTTGTTGTGGACAACAGCTCCACCTTAGCTCCAGTTTTCCCGAATCAGCTCTGCTAAGCCTCCCATGGAGGAGCAAAGCCATCAGTTGTGAATGTACATTTATATCTGAAGAGCCACCGCTGGACCATATGCAGTAATAATGCAGGGCCGTGGTGGACAAATGTGGAAAAAGGTTATTTTTTTGTGTTGCTTTATTTGAGAAGTTACTTTGTCAGATGATTGTATACCTTTGTAATTTTTAAGGAATGGCTATGCTTCTGTCATTCTTCGCTACAAGCTGTTTTATAAATGCTCAGTATTATGAGGACTGGTTCTTAAAAGTATTTGTACATCCATTTTCAAAATAAATATTTTGGAAAAGGCTTTGTGCCACTTGTATTGTTCAGTTATTTTTGATGTGTGTTTTTTTTTTTGTTTGCACCTGTTTTGGGGGTGAAATAGTAAGACATTTTGGAAACTGTGTAAAAACTAGACCAATAGAAAATTCCTTATTATTCACTTTGTTCAAGTACATATGGATGGTAACCACCTCCCATCTTGCCTATAGTAAAAAGGCAGCTGGGTGGGAGCACCATTATTCCAGTTGAACGTCATATGACGTCCTCCCAGTAACGCTCCTTGTGTGCACCCAAGAGACCACGCAACAGCACAATCTGCCTCCTACTGTGACACAGCGAATGACAGATCATTGTACCAGGCTGGCCTCAGTACCATGTGATTTCTGTGACCAATCACAGCAATCGCATATCAGATATACACAATGGCCTTCATTCATTGTGTACTATTGTGATCTCTGTGATTGGTCACATTGATCACATGGTATGGACAGGGCCAATCACTGTGCACCTGTACCATGTGATAGCTGTGACCTATCATAGCTGTCACAGTGTACACAATGGTACATGAATGGATGCCAATCACAAAAATGATTTCTTATAACCGTGATCATCACTGTTACAAACAATCATAGTGTAAAAAAAACATGATCACTTCCACCTATGGTGGCATGGTACTGCTCTGGTCACAGTACGTAAAAATTGGGAGAGGGAAATAAAAAAAAAAAAAATATATAAAGTATAACTAAAGTAGGCAACGATTTGGATAGTTTGTCCAAAAACAGAGGTAGAACAAACATTTTAGTTTGAAACCCGTTAATTAGTGTATGAAAAGGATGTTTGATTGTAGTTCAACGGCCGACATCAAGTGAAGAAAACTATAGTGGTGGAGATATGCTAAAATGCTAGCTAAGTAGGAGATGTACAGATATCTCGTGTTCTGGAGGCATCCCTGCGGAAGAGCCGAAAAACAGAAATCAGAAGAGAGGGAGAGGAGTGGAGACAAGGAACGGACATTCATAATGCTTGAGTTCAGTTTGTGAGGTATGGTTGGGTTATAGTGAATTAAAGCCATTCGCTGAAATTTCCGGGTGGGCGTATTGGATCCACGGAGTCCAAGTTTTAAGGAATCTCTCATGGGTGTCAGAGTATACTAGCCAGTTTTTCATTTATTAAAAAGGTCAACGCGGCAGTGAACTTATGTGAAGGGTACAAACTGCAGTTTCCAGGTTTTCGCTATGGTTTGTTTAGCCGCCAAAAGTACGTGAGTGGCTAGTTTAAATTTGTGTTTAGACATACCCGGAGGTTTTAGGTGTAAGATAGTATACCATGGGTCGCTCGGGAAGGGGTAAGTGAGTAATGATTGAAGTAATTTGAGAAGTTTTGACCAAAATCGGGAAATCATAAGGCATGTCCACCATATGTGTAAGACATTGCCCAATGCATTACAGCCGCAAAAACAAGTGTTGGGGGCTGATGGGTGGAAAAAAGCTAGGCGGGATGGAACAAGATACCATTTTGTCACTGTTTTGAAAGCCGATTCCATAGTGAGGACATTGATGGAGCATGAGGTCAGGGTTGACCACATCTGTGACCAACATGCACGATCTTTAGTGCCTTTCAGATCCCTTTCCCATCTGGAGACGTAAGCGTGGTTGTTGGGGTTCTGTAGGTTAGTTAATTGTGAGTACAGGATTGAGATTAGTTTAGGGAGAAAGGCATTCGGTGGCAAATGTGTTAGAACAAGGAAAATTGTGTAGTCTGGTCTTAGTGAGAATCGAAGTTACCCAAGGTTTGACAAACACAAGGGGGGGCCTTGAGTTTGTCCCTTATTTCTGCCCAAGTGTAAACTGAGCGGCCGTAAGAAGTTAGTGGATACAATGAAAGTTGTGGGAGGTCCATCAATGAAAAGAAGAAGGGGATTCAAGGCCAGGTGGGAACGAGATTAGCCACGAGGGGGAGTAGTGGTAAGTCGGGAGAGATTAGTTCACTGGAGTATTTTGTTGAGTCCCATATGCACAATGAGTGGGCCATAAGGGGGCTAAGAGATGTGGGTCTGGATTTCTGAGGGAGCCATAAAAGCGAAGAGAGGGAGGTCAGATGGCAGGAGAGAGCTTCTAAGGCTACCCATGTGGGGGCTTGTTGTGTTGCGTACAATGAAGTTAAAGGTGTGATTTGAGCTGCCGCACAATACTTAGAGAAGTTAGGAACCCCCAGGCCACCCTGTTTCGGGTGTGTAAGCATGATGTGTTTAGTGACCCGAGATCTTTTGTTGACCCAGATAAAGTGTAAAACGTGACTTGGAAAATATTTCAGGGCATAACAGGGAATCGGGACTGAGAGAGTGCAAAATAAGTACAAAAGTTTGGGGGGGGGTCATTTTTACTGCATTCTACCCATCCACGAGAGGGGTCAGTGGGACCAGGTGGTGAGGATTGTTTTGAGGGAGCGGAAAGTTGAGATGTAATTGGCCTCGTATAGGGTGTAGGTGTAGTAGGAGTTTGTAAGGTTAATTCCCAGGTATTCTAGATGTGCGGGAGGCCAAGTAAAATTGTAGTTTTGTTTTAGTAAGTTTTGTGGGGAGAGAAACGTTAAGGGCTGAAGATTTGTCTTCGTTTACTACCAGACCTGATATATTGGAAACTCTGGTTAAAATGGAGAAGAGGGTGGGTAAGGAGGTCTGTGGTTGAGTCAGAGTTAGAATTAGGTCATCAACAAATGTGCTAACTTTAAAAGTTTTGTGAGCAAGTGGGACCCCTTTGATGTCCGTGTTATATCTTCTGAGATGGAGTAAGGGTTCCAGGGCTAAATGAAGAGTATCGAGGAGAGGGGACATCCCTGGCATGTTCCTCTTTGAATAAGGAAGGGGGGGGTTGTCTGAAGAGAGAACGGACCATTGCAGAGCGTCCATGGTATAGAGCCTTTACCCAGGACATGATGGGTTTTTCCAAAGTTTTGTATATGTGTTCCCAAGAGAGGAAATCAAATGTTGTGTATGTCTAGGCTCAGGATCATGCCAGGAGAATTGTGTTGTTGAAGCAGGTGAATTAGGTGAATAACCCTACAAGTGTTGTCTGAAGACTGTCGGTGGAGGACAAAGCCCCCTTGATTTTTGTGAATGAGGTGATGTAAGAAAAAGTTAATACTAGTGGTGAGGATTTTGCCAATATTTTGATGTCGACAAATTATGCGGGTCCTGAGGATCCTTTCCGGGTTTCGGAGATCATAACCATTTGAGCTGCTGTGGATGACGTGTGAAGATCTGAATGGGAGTGTAAATGGTTAAAAAAGTTACTCAAATGGGGGGCCAGGGAGTCAGTGAATTTTTTGTAGTTAAGTGCTGAGAAACCATCAGGACCAGGAGTTTTCTGCATCGAGTGTTTTTATTGCTGTAAGGACCTCTGGAACAGTGATGTCAGTTTTTGGTTTATCAACCATGGGGGTGGATAGTTTGGGGAAATGGATTTCCTAGGAAAGGTCACCTGCTGACTTCGTGCTGAGAGGTTGCGGAGCTTGATCAAGACAGTGGCAAAAGTGTCCACTATTTTGGAAGGGTTTGCGGTAATGATTTTGTTAGGAGTAATCTAATTGGGTTGGTGTTACGGGTACGGGCCTTGAGGAGATTAGCCAGCACTGGACCTGGTTTGTTGGTGCAAGTGTTATATTTGTCTGGACCTTCTAAATTGTTTTCCAGCCTTATCATCGAGAAGGAAGTTAAGTTCAACTTTAGTAGCTTCTAATTGTTTGCGCAGAGAGGTAGAGTGGGTTGTTTAAATTGGGTTTCTAATTGTGATAAGTGGGATGATAAAATTGTCACTCTAGCTTCTCTG